ATTACTTTCCCGCACTCTTACAAAATAATTTAAAAACTTTACAATGACAATGAAAACATCTTCACCCAACTACATTCGGTCGACAACTGAGAAAGCTAGCCGAAGTTGTTGACGTTTCTAAAAAACAAGGTTGCCAGGTTGGACAAAAATAGTGTACGGATTGGAAAAAATGTAAACCGAGATTTTATCAGCATTCCTTTAAAGGTATACTGAGTTCAAAAAAACAAAAATATTTTTAAAATTCACGTTTTACAAATTTATTTTAAAAAATTTTACGCCTTGTTTAAAAAATATTTTAAAAAAATTCACGAATTGTCTAAAAAATATTTTTGAAAAATTCACGCCTTGTTTAAAAAAACTACGCCTTGTGGGACACCTTCAAAAAATATTTTTAAAAATTCCCCACTTCGAAAAAAAAATATTTTTTATGTGTTTCCTATAACCATGTTCGACTGTATTATAAAGATATCCAATTCCATTTCCTTACATTTTTTATTTTTGTTTTTCAATTTCTATTTATGCAAGTTTTTTACAATGACACTGCAGCAGCAGCAGTAGTACTTCTATGAGAAGTCCCTTGGCATTAGCAAAAAACCAACAACAACAAAGGTACAAATAGGTACATAGTGACTGAATTCTTTCTTTTCTATGCGTTGCTTTGCATGCACCTGGGGTAGCAACACAACCATCCACCAACAACCAACCAAACACCATACACAGAGTTGAGGTACTTGTTTTGTGTTCGACATACCCCACCACGAACAATCACATCGGAGCAAGTGGTATTTTTTTCTCATTTGACGTAAGTAACATTGTGTACTGAGTGCTAACAGGCTAACAGCAATTCTAGAGAGTCGATTTTACATTAAGTACTCTGAGTATTTGGTTTTTTCTTCGCTTTGTTTAATTACGCTTCAATTGCACTGGTGGTATTTTCAACAGAGTATTTGTTGTTGTGTGTATCACATTGTTGTTGTTTTTGTTTAACGCCGCTGTTAGTACCTCCCCTTTTAGGCTGAAGTGTATTTGTGGTGTTGTGTTTACAGAACAGACATACACACATACTCAACGGACAAACGAACGAACGTACGCCATGGATTTGTTGCTCCAAGCTTTCCCCATTTAATTCTCACCTCTCCTCTCTCTCCCCAGCGGCCAGCAACAACACAAGCAACACTCATATTGCCTTTGTTGCTCATTTACTTGTTATGCATTCCTTGTATGAACACAGTTAACGTTGACGATGATGTCGTCGTACTCGTTGTCGTTCGTTGCTGTTGTGTTGCGGTGATTCGTTCGTCCGTTCGTTGTTGATTTCTTGTTGGATACTGTTTTGTTGCTGTCTCCCCACCTCTCCTCTCATTTAGTCGTTGTACTACTCTTTGCAAAAAGGTCGTTGCTCGGTACTGAGCTGCGTACATTCACCTCAATTATTTTGTTGTGTTTATTTTGATTTGTGGGGATATACCGGCCAGCCCAGTCAGTTTGCAAACGATGTTGTGTGGTATGTTTGTGTGTGTGAATCTGTTGTGTTGTTGCTGAGAGAGGGAGATGATATACAAGATGTGGGTCTCTGTTGTATTACTGAATCAATGCAGTTTTAGTAATGCAACGACCTTGCACAAATTTGGTGTTTATGTTTGGAGGAATAAAATCTGTTGAAAATTAATAAATATTCGGAAAAATAAAAAATAAAATAAAAATTCTTGGCAAAAATTATAAAAAAAAAAATAAAAAATAAGAAATCCTTCAAAAAATATTAAAAGAAAAATTAATGGAAAAAAATATCATTAAAAAAAAATTAGGGAAAATGCTTAAAAAAAACTTCATTTTTTTTTAGGAAAAAATGCCTAAACATTAATTTAACAATTTTTAGAAAAAATACTTAAACATAAAAAATCAATAAACAATTTATGAAAAACATACTTAAAAATGTTAAGAAAAAAATTCTTAAAAATATATTAATTAAACAAATCCTTAAAGAAATTATTAATAGGAAAAAAATTTTAAGAAAAAAGTTCTTAAAAAAAATATTAATTAAGGATGAAATCGTTAAATAAATTAATATTAAATTTTTTGGGTTTAAAATTTGTAGAAAAAATCCTTAAAAAATATTATTTAAAAAAATGGAAAAATCTTCAGTAAAAAATTTTTAGAAACAAATTAAAAAAATAAAGAAAATCTTTTTAAAAAAATGTTAATACTTACTTAGCTGGCTTGTGATAAAACTGTCGTTCCATAAGCCGAGCTTAGAAAAGATTTCCAGGCGCGTCGGTCTTTTGCGCATGGTTCATTCGGCGGCGATATTCACCTTCAACGCAGATCAGCCCATAGATTTTTCGGAGAATTTTTCTATCAAACACTCCAAGGTCTGCCTCATCTGCTTGCGCAAGTACCCATGCTTCAGATCCATATAACAGCATGTAGGGTGTGAGTTTGGCCCGACGGGAGGTGGCCTTACTTTTGAGTTTTTTTTTTGCTCAGACCATAGTAGCATCGGTTGGCCATTACTATCCTTCTCAGAATTTCAAAACAGATGCCATTCGTTTTGTTTATGGCGGTGCCAAGGTATATAAAATCTTTGACTACCTCGAAGCTATAGTTCTCAAGTTCCACAGTTGGTCCGAGTCTACTGGACGTCTTGCGCGTTGATACCATCAGTTTGGTCTTCTCGCTGTTTACTGCCAGACCCACTTTGGGAGACACCTTCTCAATTTGTTCAAAGGTGGCTGTTACCGCTCTCAGTGTTCGGCCCATTATGTCGATGTCATCGGCGTAGGCGAGTAACATGTGTTGTTTGGTGTACAGAGTGTAATTTCTGTTCACTTTTGCCTCTCGTATGACCTTTTCCAGCAGGATGTTAAAAAGGTCACACGGCAAAGTGTCACCTTGTCTGAATCCTCGTTCGACATTAAAAGGGCTCCGAGAGGTCCTTTCCGACTTTTACTGCTAATCTTGTGTCAGTTAAAGTTATCCTGCGTAGCCGTATTAATTTTGCAGGAATGCTAAACGCAGACATAGCATATTGTTTTGTCTCCCTTTTTGTGCACGGGACACAGGATGCTGAGGTTGCAATCATTGGGCATGCATTCTTCTAGCCAAATTTTCTAATCAGCTGGTGCATGCTCCTTACCAGCATCTGACCACCAGTCTTGAATAATTCGGCTTGTAACACATCGGCACCTGCTGCTTTATTATTCTTCAGCCGATTGATTGCTATTCTGACTTCCTCTTGGCTAGGTGGTATACACTCTATACCGTCATCTATTATTGGTTCTGGGGTATCCTTTTCACCGCTACTATTTGATACCAGAAGTTTTTAAAAATGCTCCTTCCATATCCTCAGCACACTGTCTGTATCTGTCACCAGGTTTTCTTCTTCATCTCTACAGGAGAATGTGCCTGCACCAAAGCCTTCGGTTTGGTTTTTTACCCGTTGGTAGAATTTTCGGACTTCATTCTGACTCCTGTATATCTCGATTTGCAGCTTTTCGACGTCGAGTTTCGTGTTGTGTTAGATCGCAAACTGCCCTTCCGATTTTTGCATTAAAATCTCCTAGCAATTAGACCAGGCGTGGATTTTTTTAAATTAATAATTTTCCTGTTAGACCAAGGCATGGATTTTTTAAATTAAAAATTTTCCAATTAGACCACGACTTGGATTTTATTAAATTAATAATATTCCAATTAGACAAAGGCGTGGATTTCTTTAAATTAATAATTATCTAATGATTTTCCAATTAGACCAAGACTTGGATTTTATTAAATTAATAATATTCCAATTAGACAAAGGCGTGGATTTCTTTAAATTAATAATTATCTAATGATTTTCCAATTAGACCAAGGCGTGTATTTATTAAATGAACGATTTTCCAATTAGACCAAGGCGTGTATTTATTAAATGAACGATTTTCCAATTAGACCAAGGCGTGGATTTTTTAAATTAATAATTTTCCAATTAGACCAAGGCGTGGATTTTTTAAATTAATAATTTTCCAATTAGACCAATGCGTGGATTTTTTAAGTAATGATTTTCCAATTAGACCAAGGCGTGAATTTTTTAAATTAATAATTTCCCATTTAGATCAAGGCGTGGATTTTTTAAATTAATAATTTCCCATTTAGATCAAGGCGTGGATTTTTTAAAAGACCAATTAGACCAAGGCTTGGATTTTTTAAATTAATAATTTTCCAATTAGACCAAGGCGTGGATTTTTTAAATTAATAATTTCCCATTTAGATCAAGGCGTGGATTTTTTAAATTAATAATTTCCCATTTAGATCAAGGCGTGGATTTTTTAAAAGACCAATTAGACCAAGGCAGATTTTTTTAGTAATAATTTTCCAATTAGACAAAGGCGTGGATTTTTTAGTAATAATTTTCCAATTAGACAAAGGCATGGATTTTTAAGTAATAATTTTCCAATTAGATCAAGGCTGATTTTTTTAGTAATAATTTTCCAATTAGACCAAGACTGATTTTTTAGTAATGATTTTCCAATTAGACCAAGGCTGATTTTTTAGTAATGATTTTCCAATTATACCAAGGCTGATTTTTTTAGTAATGATTTTCCAATTAGACCAAGACTGATTTTTTTAAATAATCACTTGATTTATAATTATTTTTTATTATTAGAATTTATTTATTTATTCGCCATGTAAATATTGTGTCTTATAACTTATTTTCGATTTATATTTCAGATTCTATTCATGATATGTATGAGTTCGAGAGTTATAGTTTTTGGTTTTTTTTCTAGACTCTGATTGAGTGATTTTTTATTAATTATTATTTTTTATTATTTACCTAAATTATCACAGTTTTTGATATGTATGTTTTTTTGTTGTTGTTGTTGTTGATATACAACAGGGATTTTCCTTAAATTCTAAAATATTTTTTTGCAATTTTTTGCTGATATGTTTCGATTGCAGTTTTTGTTTTTTTTTCATAATAAATATTTTTGTCATTTTAACTTAACCTCAAAAAATCGTTTCGCCTTAACCTAAAACTCATTTGCCTTGTTGGGCGCCGCCATAACACAGGCATCCTTAAAATTGGTGGCATTCAATGATCCAAAATAATCTTCATGCAGGAAACGAATAATATTCTCAATCGGACATAGATCCGCCTTATTACCACGACTATCTCTTGTAACCCTTAAACTTTTACCACCCTCACAGAAATCAATTTGTTGTGTCACATCATGACCATTATAGACAACACGAAAATAATATTCGGTATGGGCTTCACTTTTATATACCTCAAAGGCCAGCCGGGCAGCATAGGCAATAAATGTACTCTCCGTTTGGATACCCAGGGCCGCTGTTAGATATTGCAGTGTCCAATCGTGTCCCGAATAGAGTACAAATTTTGTACGATCTCCGGATATCATACGCAGCATGTAGCTAACAATATGGCGGATCATGCCATAGGCTCGAAGTAAACCAATTCTTTTGTAGTAGGCATGGTGGACCTCCCTTGTCGACTGCCATTGGGAAAAGGACATCATTGTGGAGACATGGTCGGATTCTATGCAACCCTCACCAGGGCTATTGGTGGCTGGCATATCATCATTAATAAAATTGGAAGCCATATCAGCATCATTACCACCTCCTCCAGTATCAGCACCACCATTCCCTCCTCCACCACCTGCACCCCCACCCATCATACCATCATCCTGATCAATATTGATAACATCATTCATGTCCATATCATTCACCTTCGTACTAATGGCTGTGGTACGATCGGTGCCATTACCTCCACCTCTCCGGCAGGGCCATGGTGCATCATGGCACATTACCATCAACATGGCATCCACCACCTCATTTGGATCATTGATACCATTCGGGGTGTGCTGCAGCAGCTGATTACCCACCCAATGCATAACATGTGTAACCATGGGTTGTTTGGTCAGGGCCTTTTTCTGGGTCTTCAGTAGCTCCTTGCGCAGGGCATCAGCCTTCTGGCACACACATTCGGTAAAACAAAAGGCAATGCTATGCGATTCTCGGACATTTAGGGCCAGCCATTTGTCAGTCGGCAGGAAGGTATACAGCAAGGCCAAGGCCGATTGAAAGGTACGCCTTACCCGAGTGGTATAGACCACCACTTCATCGGAATTTAGCAGTGTGGAATAGGGTGTCGAATTGGCCACATTCTTGCCATAACCATTGCTGGCCGATTGGCGTATCCATAAACCCAAGGGGTGGGCGTAGATTTGATGCAGAATATCGCCAACGTGTAGAAGTTGGGCTATGCCTCTGAAATTAAAGAAAAAAATTGTATTAAAAATTAAATATTCCAATTTAAAAATAAAAACAATTATTTGTACAAGATTTTCTTGAATTAATAATTTTCCAATTAGACCAAGGCGTGGATTTATTAAATGAACGATTTTCTAATTAGACCAAGGCGTGGATTTATTTCTAATTAGACCAAGGCGTGGATTTATTAAATGAACGATTTTCTAATTAGACCAAGGCGTGGATTTATTAAATGACAATTTCTAATTAGACCAAGGCGTGGATTTATTAAATGAACGATTTTCTAATTAGACCAAGGCGTGGATTTATTAAATGAACGATTTTCTAATTAGACCAAGGCGTGGATTTATTAAATGAACGATTTTCTAATTAGACCAAGGCGTGGATTTATTAAATGAACGATTTTCTAATTAGACCAAGGCGTGGATTTATTAAATGAACGATTTTCTAATTAGACCAAGGCGTGGATTTATTAAATGAACGATTTTCTAATTAGACCAAGGCGTGGATTTATTAAATGAACGATTTTCTAATTAGACCAAGGCGTGGATTTATTAAATGAACGATTTTCTAATTAGACCAAGGCGTGGATTTATTAAATGAACGATTTTCTAATTAGACCAAGGCGTGGATTTATTAAATTATTTGATTTATAAAACTATTTTTCCAATTAGAAATTATTTGATTTTTAAAATTATTTTTTCCAATTAGAAATGAAAGGACCAACTAGATATTATTTGATTTTTTTAAATATTTTTTCCAATTAGAAATGAAAGGACCAACTAGATATTATTTGATTTTTTTAAATATTGTTTTCAATTAGAAATTATTCGATTTTTAAAACTATTTTTTCCAATTAGAAATTAAAGAAATTAGGCTAAGGCGAGGCTTTATTAAAATAATCTTATTTGATTTATAAAACTATTTTTCCAATTAGAAATTATTTGATTTTTAAAACTATTTTTTTCAATTAGAAATGAAAGGGCCAACTAGATATTATTTGATTTTTTTAAATATTGTTTCCAATTAGAAATTATTCGATTTTTAAAACTATTTTTTCCAATTAGAAATGAAAGGACTAAGACGTGGATTTTTCCTATTAGATAGTATTTGATTTTTTTAATAAATAGTTTTCCAGTTAGATATTATTGGATTTTTTTAAAATATTTTTTCCCAATTAGATATTGTTGCATTTTTTAAAATATTTTTTCCAATTAGATTGGATTATTTAAAATATGTTTTTCCAATTAGAAATTAAAGGAATTAGGCGAGGCTTTATTAAAATAATCTTTCCAATTAGACATTTAAGGTATACGACTAAGGCTTACCTTTGTTTAAATATTTTTTCCAATTAGAAGTTAATGGAATTAGACTAACGAGAATATTTTCTAAGGAGTATTTTTGGAGGACATCGACTAGATTTTTAAAGGAATATTTGCCAAGGACAACGACTAGAATTTGTAATGATATTTTAAGGACTATTATCCACCGATTTTTAAGGAATATTTTGTAAGGACAATAAGTGCATTTTTAAAGAGATTTAAAAATCCAAGATTTCTAGATTTTATTAAAGAGTATTTTCGAAGAAGAACGGCTAGGTTTTTAAATAGATAACGATATATATTTTTTAAGGATTTTTAAGAATATTTTTCTAAGGACAAGGATTGGATTTTGAAGGGAATATTTTTTAAGGACTAGGTGTTGATTTTATAAGGAATATTTTTCAAGGACAAGGACTAGACTTTTTAAGGATTTTAAAGGAATATTTTTCAATGACAATGACTAGGTTTTAAGGGAATATTTTCTAAGGACAACGACTAGATTTTTTAATGATGTTTTAAGGAATATTTTTTAAGGACATGTCATAGATTTTTAAAAGGAATATTTTCTAAGGACAAAAACTCGATTTTTAAGCAATATTTTTTAAGGTCAACGTTAAGACGGTTAGGATTCTTCAAGAATATTTTCTAAGGACAAGGCGTAGGCTTTTTTAAAGGAATATATTCTATGGACAAGGTGTGGAGTTTTTTAAGGAATATTTTCTGAGAACAAGGACTAGATTTGCAAGGCATATTTTCTAAGGATAACGACTAGACTTTAAAGGAATATTTTTCTAGGGCTAATGTTTGGAATATTTTCCAAGGACTAGGCCCTGATTTTGTAAGAATCTGCCTTGTACTTACTTATATGTCAACTGGCCCAATAGACATTCTCTCTCTGCCAGTGGCAGCAGCGGAAATCCATGAAACGGCCCAACCTTATTCCAATACATATGATTCGATCCCGATATTGATGTCGTATTATATAAAAAACTTCGATATCTGCAAAGAAAAGGAAACCAATTTAATTATTTTATTCGTTTCCTGAAATCTCCACCCCTCCCTCCTTACTCACTTATTAACCAAATTATCCCCAGTTATGCCACAATCCAAATGCGGTACACTACGTAAATGTGACATTGGACCACGATCGCCATGACGGATTATCATAAGGACACCCTGTAACTTCCACCCATCTAAAATGCCACCATCATCGAGGCGTTGAATTTGCGACAGCGAGGTGCAACGTGTCTTATATTTTGCAAAATTATTCGGGTCCAATGCCGGAGTTGAGGTCAGCCCACCAGAGCCATATAAATGTGAATTGCCATTGAGGATGTAGCTCAGGGTATTTGTGTTGCGACCAATGTATTTATACATGCCTAGAAGAAGAAAATGAAATATTTTACTTTGGGGTTTGTAATTATAATTAGAGCATGTCCTGCTCGAACTTACCAGCTATTAATAGAAATATCCATATACTCAGAATCAAATAGCAATACAGCGTCCGATGTTGTGTGGAAAATCGTATTAGCTCCTTCAAAAACATCCTCTGTGTATCACCTGGCTATGGATTGTGGCGGGGAAAAATTTGGTTTAGATTCTTTTTTTGTTTTTTCTCCTAAATTTGGAGTTGTTAAAAATTGTTTCGAGTTTTTGTTTTAATTTTTTTTTTTCGACAAGTGTGTGTGTATTACAGTAAACAGAAAATTTTATGTTCTGAAATGTCAGTGGTTGTCAAACGAAATTATAACACATATTTGACAGTAGTCTGTAGTGGGGGAGAGAATGTGGGTTCCCAACATGCGCAGTTGAGGTAAACAAAAACAGCTGTTATGAACCGTTAGAAAAAAAACTTACCTTTATTTACAAACAGCTGTTGATACAAACACCTGTTGCATTCGATAAGGGAGAGAGAGTGAGTAGGATTGAGAGTGAAAAGAGAAAAAGATAGGAAAGTAAAAAATGCAACACTGTTGCTAGACAAGTAGGGATGTAAACGCGGATTTTTTAAAGGAATATTTTCTAAGGACTACAACAAGGCGTGGATTTTTAAAAGGAATATTTTCTAAGGACTACAACAAGGCGTGGATTTTTTAAAGGAATATTTTCTAAGGACTACAACAAGGCGTGGATTTTTTAAAGGAATATTTTCTAAGGACTACAACAAGGCGTGGATTTTTTAAAGGAATATTTTCTAAGGACTACAACAAGGCGTGGATTTTTTAAAGGAATATTTTCTAAGGACTACAACAAGGCGTGGATTTTTTAAAGGAATATTTTCTAAGGACTACAACAAGGCGTGGATTTTTTAAAGGAATATTTTCTAAGGACTTCAGAAACATAGGCGTGGATTTTTTAAAGGAATACTTTTTTCAATGCCTAGGAACTTCAGAAACATAGGCGTGGATTTTTTAAAGGAATATTTTCTAAGGACTACAACAAGGCGTGGATTTTTTAAAGGAATATTTTCTAAGGACTACAACAAGGCGTGGATTTTTTAAAGGAATATTTTCTAAGGACTACAACAAGGCGTGGATTTTTTAAAGGAATATTTTCTAAGGACTACAACAAGGCGTGGATTTTTTAAAGGAATATTTTCTAAGGACTACAACAAGGCGTGGATTTTTTAAAGGAATATTTTCTAAGGACTACAACAAGGCGTGGATTTTTTAAAGGAATATTTTCTAAGGACTACAACAAGGCGTGGATTTTTTAAAGGAATATTTTCTAAGGACTACAACAAGGCGTGGATTTTTTAAAGGAATATTTTCTAAGGACTACAACAAGGCGTGGATTTTTTAAAGGAATATTTTCTAAGGACTACAACAAGGCGTGGATTTTTTAAAGGAATATTTTCTAAGGACTACAACAAGGCGTGGATTTTTTAAAGGAATATTTTCTAAGGACTACAACAAGGCGTGGATTTTTTAAAGGAATATTTTCTAAGGACTACAACAAGGCGTGGATTTTTTAAAGGAATATTTTCTAAGGACTACAACAAGGCGTGGATTTTTTAAAGGAATATTTTCTAAGGACTACAACAAGGCGTGGATTTTTTAAAGGAATATTTTCTAAGGACTACAACAAGGCGTGAATTTTTTAAAGGAATATTTTCTAAGGACTACAACAAGGCGTGGATTTTTTAAAGGAATATTTTCTAAGGACTACAACAAGGCGTGGATTTTTTAAAGGAATATTTTCTAAGGACTACAACAAGGCGTGGATTTTTTAAAGGAATATTTTCTAAGGACTACAACAAGGCGTGGATTTTTTAAAGGAATATTTTCTAAGGACTACAACAAGGCGTGGATTTTTTAAAGGAATATTTTCTAAGGACTACAACAAGGAGTTTATTGTCAATTTTTATAGGAAATAAAAAATAAAATAACAATTGTGTTTTCATTTCCATTCCTTACCCGATAATGAGTTACAAATCTGAAGAATCCGAAGATGAACTTTCCATACCCGAAGAGGGTGAAGAGAAAATAAATATTGGAGTAGGTAATCTTACAAAAGAGGAACAAAAACAAATAATTCTGAAACAATCTCCTCCTAGCTCTATATTGGAGGACGCAATAAAAAAGGAGAACGTGATGGTCGTGGATGGGCCATACTACCCAATGGCGATCAATATGATGGCCAGTATCGCCGGGGTAAACGTCATGGTATTGGTTTATATGTATTCCTAGATGGTTCCAGATATTATGGCCAATATCGTTGTGGTAAGTAAATTTTATTTCATTTTTTTTTTTTTTTTTGATAAATTTCAAAACTTTTTCTTTATTTTAGGTCGCCGTTCTGGTCGCGGCATTTTCATCTATCCCGATGGCAGTTATTACGAAGGTTGTTGGCGCAGGAATTTAAAACATGGTAAAGGACGTTATTGTTATACGAATGGAGATATTTATTGTGGTAGTTGGTATCGTGGTTTACGACATGGTATCGGGATCTATACCATGTCCCAGAATTCTGTGGGTTCTGCATGTGGTAATCTACGTTTTAAGGGTACCTGGCGTCAGGGAGTACGCGTTGGACCATTTCAGCTGACCTATGGCAATGATGAAAAATGTGTTACCTTACATGGTACATGGGATAATAAATATCCTCAGGGACCGGCGGTATTTAGTTTTGATAATCGTTATTTGTTAATGGGTTATTTCCAAACACCGGGCACCAAAAATGTGGCCTTAAAGTATGGCGTGGAGGAGGATGATGCGGAAGAACAGCCACTCGAGGGAGAGAAAGATAAACAAGATTCCTGGTCCCATGAACCTTCGGTGTGGTATGCCCAAGAGATGTGTAATTATGATTATGCTCTTTTGCCCCAAGAACCAGTACCATTGCCTCTATCGGATTCCGATCTCTCTATATGTTCGATAATAAGTGTTGTACCAGAAATAACCGTGGAAAAGGAACCAATATGCCACGGTGAAGGCGAAGAAGAAGATCAACCACCATTAGAATGTGTCTCATGTGAATGTAATTGTTCCGACACCAGTGAAGTGGAATGTTCATCGAGTCTGACATGTTTACATCGCACTGGAGATCCTTGTGCTATTGAAATTATAAATGAAAAATGTAATTAGATATTTTTTTTCAGAAAAAAATTTGAATTATTTTTAATTTTATAAACGATTATTCGGATCAGAATCCATGCCTTGTTTGATTCAATCTGACTCTGGTCTTGTCTCCAAGTTAAAAAATGCTCATACTTCCACAGGCTGCGGCCACAGATCTCCTGGAGTAAGTTGAGTAGGTTTGGCACGGCAATTAAATAAGTACTGTGAGCTGTAAGAATCTGTACCACATGCTGAGCAGATATTCTGCATGTGGTCATTAATCCAATACGAATCGAAACGACAACACTATCCAGAAGGTAATTGGGCTAAAACTACTCTGATTTGTTTGGGCAGCGGAGGTTCTTAAGCTGCGATGGGTGGGGCTACGAGCTACGAGGACTATGTATTCATTCAGCGCTACGGCAACTGCATCAGTATGAATGCTATTTATCAGTAGGTAACCTATACTAGTAGGTTAGTCTGACCAGCTATGTGGCTGGTCAGAGAACGACCTATCGCTTTGGAAGAGGTCAACCAAATTTCATTAAGTGCTGCCGGCAAGCGACTTAAGGACCTTGTTCCTACTTTTCAACTTATCGAAGATAGCTGTGGTTTGCGCGCACGATTTGAACATGCTGTCGAATGTGACCTCGAGAATTTTGGATTAATTGGTGGTCGTCGGAACTGTAGGCCCTTGTCCAGCACATTCAATGGCATTCTCTTCTCCGCAATCCATGTGGTGAACAATATGACCGAATATTTCGTGACGGATGTTTTCATATTTCTCGAGTGGAATAAGGTTGCTAAGTCGGTGAGATAGGCGTTCAACCTTTCTCAATCGTACAATCACCTACATACGTAACGATATCAATGCCGTTGAACAGTTCCGGAGATAATACTCCACCATGAGGAACTCTCTGCTTGACTTTACGGGGTTTGGACTTCTTATTCCGTACGATCTGCTGGGTTATTTCGACGGACTCATCACGCTCATTTGTTGAAACAACTGTCAGGTATAAATCTAGCGGCTGCAGCTGCAATGATGTCCCGGAATTTCTTTTCTGCTACCCGTACATAAGAAGGAATGGAAAATTATTTGAAGCGCTGGTTATGAACTCTCTGAATCCATGCTAGTTGGCTTTTCTATGGTTAAAGAATGTGCGGCGTTCTGAGATAATGAAATCGAGCAGTGTGCTAATAAAGACGATTATGGGGAGGTGGTCTGCGCCAAGAGAAATAACGCCTGTTGACGTCATTTGTAAGACCGGTTGAAACAACGGTTATGTCTGGCGAACTGTGACACTTTTCCCTTATTCTGGTGAATGTATGTATCCTCATTTACCGCGCCGAACGTGAAACTATCAATTCAGTAAATATTTTTTCTGGTCGAAGGCCATCAAATACGCGAAGTCGTCGTGATCGAAATTTTCTATGTATTTTGTCGAAGATTGTAAAAGGTATGATCTATCTGGCTCCATAATTTGGTGAGCTGTGAAAGTATTTCCCATGCGCTCATGGGAAATACTGTGACACTTGGCAAATTTTTGAAATCACTCGAAGAATCGATAATAGGTGGTCGCCCAAAAATTTGAGTGATCAACAATGAATTCTAATCAATAACTCGGTGGGGGAAATTTCAACCTTTGGATAATTTATTCATGTAGGAACTTCTATTAATGTTTCGCGTAGAAATGCTGTCAACGAAGCTTTGGCGTTCTCCTCTAATAGGTTTTCAGACGATGTGCGCGTTCATTATTTTCAAATGGTTCCCTCAATAATTTATGGATCACGACCAATCCTCGCTGGGATGGAAGAATGAATGGCACCATTTATAACGGAAGGTTTTATATATACTTGATAATGGTTGGATGTCCATGATTATAGAATTGGTTGCTAGATATCAGCTTTGCAGTTCTCGGCACATTTAATTGTAGCTATCGGCTAATTATGGAATGGGCTGTTGGATACCAGCTTCGCTCTTTTAAGGATCACGATTATTCCTCTCTGGGATGGGAGAATGTTTTCAAAAATGAATCCTTGCTGTTTTTATCTTCAGCGGGTCTCTGATTGGGCGCCATTTTTAACGAATTGTTTTGTATCTAATTGTTAATGATTGGATCTCCATGATCGAGCTCCCACTACAATTCATGGATTACGACCAATCTTTACGGATAAGGGAGAATGTGGTCCAATGTGTGAATTCTCACAGTTTACAATCAGAGACCCGACGAAAGATTTTATGTATAATTTACAATGGTTGGATCTCCGTGATAATGGAATTATTTGCTGGATATCTGCTTCGCAGTGTTTTTAATGGTAGCTATCGGCTGGGTAGGTTAAAATCAGCGAACAATTCGAGTACCTTCGAGCCGACAGCAGCTAACCAAATACATCCGAGCTGATAGCCGATAACCGATTACCTAATCAGCTGTCGTCTCGGAGATATTCGGTTTACTGGAGATCGGCTCGAGGACTAGCTCCTTTCGGATGGAAGGTATTCAAATGTTTGATGTCGATTCATGGTATCGCTCAAAAGAGCAATGCCGAAACGGTGCTCATTGTATGAGTAAAACAAAAACGCGACTATCCCCCATATGCCTAGTGGGGATCGTCCTAAGACAGCGAACGAAATCGGCCATCAATTTTTTCTCTCCAGTAATAAAGCTCCGAATGAACCGTTGACTACCACAAGCTCAGGTCTGCAATGTGCTCCATCAAGCACTATGGCCGATGATGTTCAACTACGGCCGCCAAATGTTTCCAGCCACATTCATGATGTAGGGGTTAATATCCGAGACAACAAATCAGATATTTTCGTTCACTCCAAGGGTAGACAGTATATGTGGAACGCCAGAACGCCGATACGTCCAACACCGTCGGCATACATTCATTGTTAGCGTTCGTAAATGAATTTCGTAAATCTTTGTAAAATGCCGCAATAAAAACAAAAACACCAACATATATATTTAATAACTTTTTGTTGTTGTAATATACTTTACTATTTTATTTTATATTTTATTTGTTTTTTTTATTATTAATTTTTTTTTGGATTTTTTTTTTTTTTTTTTGATGTCATTTTTCTCTTTGATGCTGTTGTTTTTGTTGTTACTAAAATACATAATAATTGTATTAGTATTAATAATAGGTAATAGTAATAATAATAGTTAATTATTAGTTACTTTTTCATATAGTATGTCTATTCAATTAGAGTTTTTTAATTTATAAATCTATATATATAGCAAGGGAAGGGGACTATATGGAAATACTTAAATAATAAAAATCGTAACTAGTTTATGAAAAATTTGTATATATGAGAAAGTGTATTTTGTGTGTGTGTGTGATTTTTTAATTCATATTTGTTTATATTACTAAACTTACAAACTAAACTAGCATTTCGAAAATAAAAACAAAACTTAAACAATCTATATTTATGTAATAATAAAAATGGTATATGATAGTGTGTATTGTATTTTTGGTATTTACAATTAAATTATCTGAACATTAGGCCTTTTAGGATGAAGATTTAGTTGTATTTTCCAATATAATTCCATATTAACACCATAGCAAATCATGACTTTAACATATATATTTCTTTCTTATGTGCAAAAAATAGAATCTAACAAATTTATTAAATTTTATTTGATTTTAGTCTACTCAATATTGGTTAAAATCTAAAAAAACAAAAATAGAGCATATCTATAAATAAAATCCGAAATTATTAGGTTGGGGAAAATAAATCCATTATTTTTTGTGTAAATGGTTTAAAACAGCTATGGCCGGAATGCTAACATACCGTCAAATTCGATTTTATCGACATTTTCGACGGTCGGTCCACCTGTGCGAGGTGCATCTTTAACATCAAAAATTCCTGAACGGAATCTACGAATACCAACCTACCATCCAAGGGCTAAAAGTAGAAATCACTGACACTCTCAGTAGTTAAACCTCCCAATCCAATAAAACAGATTAAAAAGAAAAGAGGAATATGTGATTGTGAAAGCAGCAACCACCTCTAAAAGGTTGTCAGATCTTATAGCAGTGGCTGGAATTCCAAAGTTGACTGGTTGTTCTTTTACATTGAAATGGATCAAAATATTCCACGTTTCTTGATTTCATGCATAATCAAACAAAAATATATATAGGACCTATAATTACATCAAAGTGTCAGTCGGTGTTTCCTGATAGATGTATACCCACAGTTTATGGTTTGCGGAGGTCAACGCAATTTCTACAAAGAGGCTTAATTATAATATAATAGCAGAAGGAGTGGATCGATGGGTCCCATCTTCGGACATGATCTGGATTTAGTAAAAATACTACGATTTGCAATTTTTGGATCAAATCCGACATTCAATTCGTTTGGTAATGAATTATTAAATTTTCAAAATATTGACACTTTGTGGGATAGGTACCAGAAGGCAAAGGTAAAACAATTTTGATGTGCAAAGTTTAGATCAAAACTGATCTTTCATTCGTTTCATATTGAATTGACAAAATTTTAAATTGTTTATACTTTGTGGGGTAGGCACAAGAAGGAGTGGACCGACGGGTCCCATCTTCGGAACAGATTTTGGTTTGTTAAAAATAATACGATGTGTAATGTTTGACTCAAATCGGGCATGCCATTCCCTTAATATTGGATTTATAATACATTGACAATTATGACTCTTCTTGTGGGATATTCCCCATCTACGAAATTGTTATCCTGTGCACCAGGATCCGAGAAACGTTTATCAACTTAGCCCATTGTGTAAAAGGAATTGGGCTGCTACAACAGCAGACAGACGGTCATTTCTAAATCGACTCCTAATTGTCGGAAACGAATTCGGTTCAAATAAGCATGGGATCTAAAACCAATATTTTGATCAAAGTGTACGAGTATATACCCTCATCCAAAGGGTTGAGGGAAAAAATGTTCACACATATTAACCCGAGCTGTGTTAGCGTGACCATATGGTCACACTCATAATACGATCAATAAATCATCTAAAAAACCTGTACCCGAGCAGTGCTAGTGTGAACATACGACCACAGGCCAAAAATTGATGCTGTCGATTATCCTGAAAAGAACTAAGGATACACATCAAATTTTTGAATTCAGTGGCCAACAATCTAGAGATGCTGAAAGTTTCTTCCCACAATTCCAAAAAAATAATTACAGCACTATTCGGGTTAAAATACGGCTAATTTCTGATCATGCATTAATTACATTGACTATTTTAAATCCGCTTACGGCTCTACACGTGTAATCTCCAGCCATACAATTGTTGTAATCGGGTTCCGCAAACAATCTCTTGGGATTATGGAAACAACATTCATAGGCACACATTTAATTTTTTTTATATTTTCTGACAGTAACCACAACGAAATACATGTAGGCCTTTCCTAAGCCCAATATTGCAGTTTCGTTGAAGCATCTTCCAGAACTCATTCGAGCTTTTGCCATTAGCAAACAAGGTCTTTCATACTAAGAATTTTCTGATACGACAGCTAATCAAATATCGTCTGTCAATGACAATATTAATACTGAGGCGAGTGGCCGAAGAGTGTATATAAGGAAATATTTTCGATCGGAAAAACTGTTCTTTAACAAATCTAGGCCTTGGATAGCTTTCGAAAAAAATTATTTAAAAAATCTATGCCTTTGATAGGTTTCGGAAAAAATTTATTTAAAAAAATCTATGCCTTGGATAGCTTTCGGGAAAATTTATTTAAAAAGTCTATGCCTTGGATAGCTTTCGAAAAAAGTTATTTCAAAAATCCACGCCTTGGGTTGGCTCTGGAAAATTATATTTAAAAATCTATATCTTGGATAGACTCAGAAAAATATTATATAAAAGATCTACGACTTGGGTAGTCTCAGGAAAAAATGTTCTTTCAAAAATCTACGCCTTGTGTAGTCTCAGGAAAAAATGTTCTTTCAAAAATCTCCGCCTTGGGTAGTCTCAGGAAAAAATGTTCTTTCAAAAATCTACGCCTTGAATTGTCTCAGGAAAAAGTGTTCTTTCAAAAATCTACGCCTTGGGTAGTCTCAGGAAAAATTGTTCTTTCAAAAATCTACGCCATAGGTAGTCTCAGGAAAGAAATTATTTAAGCCTTGTGTAGTCTCAAGTAAAATTTATTTATCTAGTCCAAGAAAAAAATTCAATTTAAATAATCAACGCATTGGGTAGACACTCGAAATGTATATGAAAATCAACGCATTGGGAAGACTTTGAAAAATTTTATTTAAAAAATCTACGTCTTGAAAAAAATGTTCTTTAACAAATCTACGCCTTGTGTAGCCTCACGAAAACAAATTATTTCAAAAATCTACGCCTTGGGTAGCCTCACGAAAACAAATTATTTCAAAATTCTACGCCTTGGGTAGCCTCACGAAAACAAATTATTTCAAAAATCTACGCCTTTGTGTTAGTCCCCGAAAAAATCAATTTAAATTATTGAAAGACAATAATAACGCTTTGTTTTCTTTATCTTTGTGATATTTACATATATATTTTCTTTATATATGGAGATTACTATTATTTGTAGTTGTTGTTTTTTTAAGAATATCATTCAAATTTCATTCTAATGCCTAAATAGTAGAAGTTAATTGGAATAAAACTTCAAAACTTTCTTGTACAAAAAAAAAATTGAAGAAAGTTATAGAAAAGTAGATCTTAAAAACTATATGTCTTGCCAATTGTGAATGTGCTAAATTTAAAAATACAAAAAAAAAATCTTAAAATTACAAAATCAAAAGGGAGCATGAAAAATCTTAATATTATTTAACTTAAAAAACAGCTTAGAGACAACAATAACTCTTAAATAAACATAATTAAGAAGTAGAGGCAAAGAAGCTCAACAATTCTAAACTCAAAATCCGGAAATTTATTTTATAAATAATTTCCAGTTGAGTTTTATCATTGTTGGTGCTGTTGAAGCGGATACCGCGTTAGCATTTTCCAAATGATTAACATTATTATTGTTATTAGTACAATTTGTTGTAATGGTCATGTTGCTACTACTACTATTATTGGAATAGGAATAGGAGGAGGCGTCAACGGCAGAGGAGGCGGCGGCTATATTCTTATCATTTACATTTAAATCTAAATTTAAATTATCATTCACGAAATTCATATTGGACTATAAATATTTATTATTTTTGTGCATACGCGATTTACCCGGATTAACTTTACACTTCAGCTGTTGTATTAGATCGTAGATTTTTAACGCAGGTCCCACCTTCATACCCAACAGGGTGATAATTTCATCCTTCGACAGTTGGAGCAATCGCTTACCATCGATTTTATTACGACTAAATGTATCACAATGGGCTGTACAATCGTTGACACGCAGAAATTGTGAAACATCATAGACATTCCAGGTGTCCGGCATCAGTTCGGCATTGCTGCTGCTGTTGCTATCAATGTCACTGCAGTCGCTAAGACGGGGTATATATTTGGTACTGCTAACCGAGGAGTTCTATAAACGGCGACAATTGAAACATATTTTAGAGATTAAAAAAAAAAAATTTATAATTTGATTTCAAATATTGATGATTGTGAGATATATGGAAATATATGATTGGGTGGGTGTGGTGGTTGTGGTGGTTGGTAAATGCCAATAACAGTGCGCAAAATTAATATATATGTACAATGTGAATGGGAGTGAATATTCTAAAATGGATTTTAGTTACAATGCAAAAAAATAATGGATCTAAAAGTTTGAAATAAACTAATTGAGTTTTTTTTCCAAATCTAAAGGTAATTTTAATCTGCAATTATTCTAGAAGAAGTGCAGAGCTATTCGATTTCAAAAACTGCTAGAATTTGCATGTGATTTGTGCGATACGATTTTGGGTGTGGAAAATTGCTATTGGGGATGGAAGACCTTGATGAGTATATGAAATATTCATCATAGTCAAAGTTCACATAATTTTTTTGCTGGGGACCCATATTATACATGAAAAGATAGTTTGATATCCTGAATTGTAGCTATGGTATGTATTTTTTAAATTACATTTCAAGCAAAGGCTCTAATTGGCTCTAACATGGCGAAGCCTAGGCTTATCTTGGCCCCTCTTTCATCTCTATTGTGAGCTGATATGTGCGTTGAGACGTCGGATTAGTTGTCCATACTCGGAAACCCCCTCTTACTATGAAAAAGCAACGAAAAAGAAAGCCAAACCCAAATTCTGTCAACATTCGCGTCATTTTTTTATATGAGTACAAACTTGGTAATAGTGCTGCAAAAGCGGCACGCAACATAAACTAATCGTTTGGGGAGAATTCGGTTAACGATCGGAAAGTGCAGCGTTGGTTCGAAAAATTTCAGATTGGGCCGCGCGGAAGACCCAAAACGTCTGTGATCCAGCCGTATTCACAAGGAAACTTGCTATCAGGATGAAAGTACTGCCAGTACATTCATGAGATGCACGATAAGTTAAAAATTGTACGCCCATGGCCTGGTCCGCTACTGCTCCATGACAACGCTTGGCCGCATACATCGCAGAAAACAGCATCCACATGCAGCATCCACCATATTCACCGGATCTCTCGCCGACCGATTTTCATTTTTTTTCAAGCATTTAGATCTGTTTTAAGGGCAAACGCTATAAAAATGAAGACCGTCTAAAAAAACTCGATATCGGAGTTTATTAATTTTAAAGACCAACATTTTTTTAAGTCAGACATCTACGTTTTAAAATCTCGTTGGGAGAAGTGTATTAAATCGATTGGAGCATACTTTGATTGAATAAACAGCTTTTGAAAAAATATATGAAGTTTTATACAATCACTCAAGAATCCGACATTTCGTATGCACCAATCTAATAGCTGTCATGAAACGAGACGTGAATTTGGCAGCGGACTTATGGTTAATAGGAGAATGAAAGACCTCATGTCCAGATTCACTCGAATAGATGAGCGAATTGTTATAATCCGTATAAAAGCGAAGTTATTCTACATCAGTCTTATTTGCGCCCACGCTCCGACGGAAGACAAAGATGAACAGACCGCTGAACCGCTGCCCTGCCCATGTCATTAAAATTCTGTTAGGAGATTTTAATGTAAAAATCGGAAGGGAATAGATTTTTGGTCCCACCGATATTCAAAATTTTGACCCATTGTGGTGGAGGTATCCGAAGGAGTGGACTGATGGGTCCCATCTTTTTATTCGTTCTAGGATTGCCAAAAAGATTACGATTTGATATTGATTAAAAAATTGGAAATTTTGGTCCTATGAGGGGGCATGGACCGATTTTGATTCAAACTTGAAAGAAATTTTACCATGTGCAGAATTTGGACCAATTCGGACACTCGAATTCGCTTAATATTGGATTTATAGAAAATTGGAAATTTTGGCCCTTTGTGGGGGAGGTACTTGAAGTACTGGACCAATGGGTCTCATTTTCGGAAATGATCTGGGATTGGTAAAGCTATTGTGTTTTGCAAAGTTTGTTTCGAAAAAAATTAATTTTCAGCCAAAAAATAAAATTAATTTTCAGCAAACTATTGACCATTTTGTGTGGGAGGTACCAAAAGGAATGGACCGATATTCCCCATCTTCGAAATTGATTTATGTTTTAAAGAAATATTACGATGTGCAAAGTTTTGATGAAGTCGGTTACTCCTACCGAGAGTTATCGTGGGCCCAAGCCAGACAGACGGATGGACATTTGTAAATCGACTCCAAACTGTCTGAAAAGCGATTTGGTCCAAAGAATCGTCAAGTGTAAAAACAGTACTGCGATGAGGAACATGTCTGCCGTATCAAAGTGTACATAGCATCAGTAGACATAAGGCTGAGGGTTAAACATTATCATCCGAGCCTATTCTCACTTTTACTTGCACATATGGTTGGCGGAATAGGACCCAAGGGGATCACAATGAAATTTTTTCACAGTAAATTTATGTTTACAACACCGAATTTTTTCATTTTGTACTACCGGGCCCCCCCCCGAAATGAAATCCTGTGTACGTTGCTGCTGTCGGGAATAGCTGGGTATCCCTACAGAATCAAAATATATTTATAATCTAAAGAGTTCTTAGTTAGCCTTTACATGTTAACGAACGGAGAGGGCCCTACCAATTTCTCTTCTAATTACTTGTTGATACGCAATTTAGATACCATTAATTTGGAATACTAGACCTTATGATGGGCATTGAACTTGTCAAGAACTTGATAGACGGAACATCCAATAGAAACTCAAAATTATATTTTTCTTACACACAATGGTTGCGCCTATATTCCGGAACAACTTTCCAAAGCTATTTGACCAAAAAAACAATAAAAATGGAATGAATGGAATGAAATGTTTGATGGTAATTTTTACATTGATGAATTTTGATATTGGGAGGAAATAGATTGAGAGAGAGATCGTGAGAACAGGGCAACGACGCACTATTACAGGGTTCAACTACCACTTACCCCAATATAACTAGTTGCTTTGCGTGTTGCAATTGGCGGTGCAGGTGATTGAGGTTTTTTAATCGTATTCGATTTTTTAGTCTTACGTACTTTTGTTTCACTACTACCACTATTTCCAGCAGCAGCAGCCGCCGCCGCTGCTGCAGGATTCATTAACAACGACGACGATGATGTTGTGGCTGTTCCTGCTGCTGCTCCTCCTCCTGGATGTGATGTATCCATTAAATGGGATGATGATTGATTCGATAACATACTATTTGTATCTTCATCATATTCCTCAATATCATCGTCCTCGTCATCATCATCGGCGGCGGTGGCGGCATTGGCGGCGCTATTATCATAAAAGGCGGGATTGTGATGTTCCGGTTTCAGTTCCAATTTAATACTAAGCTTAGGGAGATGGGGTGTTGTCTTTAAAGCTATTGTACGAGTTTTAACTGAAAAAAGAAAACAAATTTCATAATCTTCAATAATTTTTTTTTGTCAACCTTTACCTTGAGGTGCTTGACTTTCACTGGGCGATGTGTGGTTATTTTTATTGTTAGCTGTTGTTGCTGGTCTTTTCTTGCGCTTCTTTTGCACTCGTGGTTTGGGTGCGGTTTTTGGCGGTGCTGGTGCCGGCGCAGGAGGTCCTTCGAGCTTATGGCCCACCAATACACACCAACCCACCGGATAAATATCCGATGATTCACAATCAAGCCATTGATCATATTCATCAGTCCATCCATCAAAATGGATTTTTAGTAGTCGCCCCACCACTCGCGACACTGTGGCCACACACACCAATCGGGGATCCATAAGATCGGCACATTCTAAACTCATACCAACCTATAAAAATGGAAAAAAATAAATGATTTTAATTTAAAGGAAAATTAATGGAAGGGAACAAAATGAATTGGATAAAATTTAAAAATGTTGCAACTTGAATTGGTTGTGTCCATAGTGAATTCGGGGTTAGGTAAGTCGTCTTAGCTGTACAGTTGAAGAGGTGGTCGTGGTCGTGTGGTCCTAGTCTACATGCAGAACATGTGTTAGGTATGAAGCCGCCAATTCTTGCCCAATATGAATTGAGGCGGTTGAACCATCCTGATGTTAGTTGAGCTAAGACTACTCTTGTTTATCGGGGCAGCTGATTTTCCTTTGTTGGATTATGGTAGACCTGCTTAATAGACTTCTTGATCTAGTTGTTCACGTTTATATATTTGGACCTCTCTCTCTCTAGATCATGAAGATCTCAGCTGACGTGCCCGGCCGGGGGAGTTCTGTCCATAAGGCTATGACAGGTGTGTTCCCGACGATAACACCCAAGCAATTACTACATCGATAACATATAATTGTGTCGAGGGACGTGTAAGATCTTGGTCTTCACATGAAGGTGGTCCACTGGAGTCATGAGGACAGCATTTTGGCAGCTCTGTATGTTCTTCCACTGCATATCACTTACATTCGCAAACCCCCCTGGCGCCGCATAGCTTACCACTGACCGGCCTATTGCTTTATAAGAGGTCAATAAGAAGGTTTCTTTGTCAGCGCCCCAAGTTCTGCCGGCTAGCGACTCGAGGATCTTGTTCCTACTTCTCAGCTTATCGCATAAAGCAGTGACATCATGGGGTAGTTATTGGTCGGAATCAGTTCTCCATCGACAGGCTTCAGTAGCGGGACCACCCTGCCTACTTTCCAGCAACTATGTGGGTGGTTAACATAAAGTTGAGGGATGATGTTAAATACTCAACACTGGGTTCATCCAGCTGTTTAAGCATTATCGTGGATATTCCGTCCGGGCCCAACGCTTTGGATGACTTAGCGTTTTTGATGCAACGTCCTCCTTTGTAAATTTTAATCGTACACCTCGGCTCGGAGTGCCCCTATGTGACGTAGTACACTCCTTTTCGCCCTGTCACTTTCGATTGCCTCTGCTGGGAAGTTTGGTCTCACTTTGGGTATTCCAAAAGCAGATATGAAGCGAGCGGCAGCAGTAGCATGTGACGTAGTACACTCTTTATCGCCCTGTCACTTTCGGTGTTCACGGAATTCATCACGCTCATTAGCCAATTCCGTTGCCTCTGCTGGGAAGTTTGGTCTCACTTCGGGTATTCCACCAGCAGATATGAAGCGAGCGGCAGCAGTAGCAATGATTTTATGGAAATATCTCTTAGCTATCCGGGGGTCTGAGGGATTGGATAGTTCACTAAAGCAAGGATTGATTAAATTTCTGAAACCTTACCAAACAGCTTTCCCATGGTTCAGGAAAGTATGGCGTTCAGAGATAATTAAGTCGGGTGGTCTTTTTACGGAGACGATTCTAGGAAGGTAAAATTACAGGTTGCCAGGTTACATATTTTATCAGACCCGGTGCAACAATGGTGATATCTAGCAAAACGTGGCAATCACCTGTTATACTCATGGGAGCATCCTCATTAACCGTGCAAAATATTGAACTCGCAATTTGCTCAGCCAGCGCTGTACCCCTGTGGTCATTACCTAGGACGGAATGCCACCGGATATCAGTCCGCTTCGGTTATCATCTTCTAAAAGCGGACTGATATCCGGTTAATAACGCGGTGTTCAGCTATTCCCTTTGCAGACGCGCCAGTCTTGCTCGCAGCTCTTCTTATTTGAAATACAAGGTTCTAAAATGTTCTCTTCCACTTGATCTTTCCATCTAATTCATGGCCTTCCTTTTGTACGTGAGCCATCAGTTGGCTCGCTTTTTTATGCCTTTTGTGTTGGGGCATCTTCATCCATTCTCACAACATGACCTAGCCAACGTAATCGGTGAAGCTCGATAAGTCTGACATCGACATGTTGTATAATAGATGGCACCGTCGACGCAGATCGGTCCATAGATCTTTCGGAGAATTTTTCTCTCAAACACTCCAAGAACTGTCTCATCTGCTTGCGCAAGTACCCATGCTTCAGATCCACACAACAGCACGGTAATATCAGCGTATTGCAGAGTGTGAGTTTGATCTGGCGTGAGGTGGCCTTGCTTTTGAGTTGCTTATTCCGACCATAGTAACATCTGCTGGCCAACACTATTCTCCTCTGGATTTCATAGCTGATGTTATTAGTTTTTTTTATGGCCGTACCGAGGTATATAAAATCGCTAAATTCATAACCATAACCATTACAATGTTCGACCCATTATATAGAAGTCGTCGGCTATTCGGTATAGGTATTAATTTTGCAGGAATGCCGAACGCAGACATTGCTTTAAACACCTCTGAACGGATATGGCTGTCGAATTCGGTTTTATAGTAGACGAATAGGTGGAATGTGTCGATGTGTTTTTCGTTGGTCTTTTCCAGGATTTGGCGCAAGGACTTGGTAACAAAACCTAATACACATCGAGGTATCAACATATCCTGATAGGCACGCGATCGCATAATAACCCAGCTATAAGGAAGCCATACTTTACTGTAGGAGACTAAACACGTATTGTGTTTGATTGTTTAAAGATAAGCCAAAACTTCGCCTCGTATTCGCTTATTTCCTCTGAAAACCTCCCCTTTTAGAATCTTAGAATTAACTATGGGTTATATGATTCCACTGTACCACACGGTGACATTCTAGGATCTAAAAATATATTATTACAGAAATGTTCAAAAAACTAACCTCAAAACCATGATTTGGCACTGTGCGATGAAATAAATGTGAACCGGCTGGTACGGAATTAGTATCACGTAAATATTGTTCCCATGTAAAATTGGCAGCTGTATAGCCATACGGAGGCGTTAATGCGATATTGTTGGTGGCACAAAAGCCAACCGGAAATATATTTGGAGATTTTTCATGATAGCAGAACCTAGAGATTAAGGAAACAAAATGCATAAGAGATTTATAATATTACAAAAAAAATTAGTTTCTTACCAATCCGCTCCAGTGGCATCTGGTTGATATGAATCAATCCTTATCATCATATAACCAAATTTCAGGACAGCCATGACGGTGGCCACACAAATCGATGAAAGATTCAAAGGATCAACAGCCTCCAGTTTCATGCCTTCGACAAATGTCTTCGCCTTATTTTCCAAATAGTATTCCTCAAAGGTGAAATTCATTTTGAAGAGTTCGATGGTGGCATCATCTTCATGGACCTCGATCATGGCATCACGGCCAGCTGAGAAGCCAAAATATAATGTAAATTAATTAAATTATCTATGTCAATAACTTACCCAACATTCTTTCCAAATAGTCTTGCGGCGCTGCCAAATTGTGACCCACCGTTGTGGCCCAACCCACCGGATGTATGATCGGCGAATCCTCATGACACCAGAAGCCATCATCCGAATCAAAATAACGCAGAAATAAACGTTTGCCAACAATTTTTGTGACAGTGGCCAAACGTACCTGAGATATGCGATCCTTGTCGACACATTCTAAATTTAAACCAAGGCGAAAACGTGACTGCATACTATCGTTGACTTTATTATAGAAACTTGAGGGTAGGGTGCGAGCACCCGACAAACGTGTTACCAGAAAATCTTTCCAATCTTTGTATTTGTTTTCAATGGAACGTGGCGGGATTAGGGGTTTGCCTCTGGTGGCACACCAACCCACGGCATGTACCTCTGAATTACATAGATTCACCCAGAAATCATGGGCTTCTTCTTCGAAACCTGGAAATGGAAATAAATGATTACAAAAATATGAAATTGAAATGCAGTTTTCTACCCACCTTCATACCGCATCAGGGCCTTATAACCCTGAATATCCAAAATTGTCGCCACCCAAAATGAATGCGGCGTCTGACCGGGTTGTATTACCTCCACTTGATCACAGTCCGTGTTCTCAACCTCCACCTTCATGTCGATACCCAAATTATCCCATACATCACAGCCGGGTGCATGATGGAAACATGTCACCGGTGCAGCATAGAAATCTTCACGACCCAATCGCGGTGTCCAATCATACGAATGTGTGGGGTCGTACAGTTTCCGTCGTATACTAATGATTTTTTCCATTTGTGGACACGGTGTTGGAAGACGATCATATTTTGGAATTTGTGGTAGCTCATCCTGGGGCATAACATCACGATACATCCGTAAAGCTTTGGGGGTGCCGGTCATTTCGGCCAACTGTTCGCTGTCTGTGGTATATTGTGGCATACCACCAGCAGCAGTGTTCGGAGCGGAATTTATGGGAAGTTGGGTGGGTGGTACTTGTCCCGCCATAGGTGCCACGGCTTTTGTATCCACACCACCCGCACCACCTATACTACCCACAGTCCCTGTTGCTGTTCCGCCTGCTGCCGCTGCAGCTACAGCTGTTGTTGTTGTATTATTTGTCGTTACATTATTATTGTTGTTGTTGTTGTTGTTGTGATTATTATTATTAATATTTATCGGTTCTCCCAAACCATTAATTTGGGTAATTTTCGATTGGTCGGTTATGCGAAAACGATAATTGGTATTTTTTATGTGGGCCACACGTAATGCCATTTCAACATCGTTAGCTTGCTGTGCGGCCGCCAACATTGTTTGCTGTTGACCAGCATCCGCTGCACCCCCACTCGTTGCCTGTTCACCATGTTGTTGTTGCTGCTGCTGTTGCATTTTATTTTCATTGAAATTATTCTCCATATTAAAGAGGGCGGTCTGTTGTTGCTGCTGCTGTTGCGTCGTTGAATATCCTTGCTTATTCACCACTAGAGAATACAATTCACCACGAGCACATGCCATACTACAAAAACGACGCGATTTCGTATAGAATGTATGTTTGACACCTATTGCTCCGCAGCGTTCACAAACCGCTTGAAAGAGAAATTGAAAAAACAAAATACATTTCGAATAAGCGAAGACACGATTAAGAAGAGTTCGTAACGAGGAGATAATTGCGACGGGAAGGTCACTTGTATAACCATCACCTCCATAACATAGAATTAAAGAGGTTTGTGGTTTAACATTTTATAACCGTCTATCTTTTGAGAATCTAAAATAACCAATTGTTGAAAAAAATTCAATCTTCTTAAAAAAATCTTCTCTTATGAGACATGAGGAGCCTATATCGGACGATGAATATATATATTTTTTTAATTTCCCCGCGTGTGACTATATCTGGATATTTGTGAGACATGGAAAATCGAAAATTGTATTAGAAACAAATAAAAAATCGTCAAGTTCGACCGAGCCGAACTTTGTATAACATAAAATTCCTAAAAGTAGTCTATATTTTGTTGTTTTTGAAATCGATCTTGGACCTTTGGGCTAGATTCTCGTATATGAAATAAATTGAAATTGAATAATGGACGGAACACCTTTGGGGGACTATGTATCCAAAGAAAGAACAAGAAAAGTGTGAAGTCCGGAAATTTTACCAACGAGTAAAACAACAATCCGGAGGCTCATCCTCCTGTAGAGATGAAGAAGGAATCCTGGTGACAGATACAGACAAGGTGTTGAGGATTTGGAAGGAGCATTTTGCAAAACTTCTGGCATCAAATAGTAGCGGTGAAGAGGATATCCCAGAACTAATAATAGATGACGGTATAGAGTGTATACCACCTAGCCAAGATGATATCAGAATAGCAATCAATAGGCTGAATAATAAATTAGAAGGTGCCGAATCTATTCAAGACTGGTACAAGACTGATTAGTACAATTTGGCTAGAGGATTACATGCCGAATGATTGGAACCTCAGCATCCTGTCTTCCGTGCACAAAAAAGATGAGACAAGACGATACGTGCCAACTATTGAGTAATAAGTCTCCTTTCCATCGCATATAAAGTGTTATCCAGAGTGCTGTGTGAACGAATGAAGCCAATGATCAATGACATTATTGGACCAATGCGGCCTCAGACCTGGTCACCATTTACGAATTTTTAACTTTGCGCCAAATGCTGGAAAAGGCCCACGAAAAACACATCGACACATCCACCTATTCCTCGACCTATTGCTCCGCAGCGTTCACAAACCGCTTGAAAGAGAAATTGAAAAAACAAAATACATTTCGAATAAGCGAAGACACGATTAAGAAGAGTTCGTAACGAGGAGATAATTGCGACGGGAAGGTCACTTGTATAACCATCACCTCCATAACATAGAATTAAAGAGGTTTGTGGTTTAACATTTTATAACCGTCTATCTTTTGAGAATCTAAAATAACCAATTGTTGAAAAAAATTCAATCTTCTTAAAAAAATCTTCTCTTATGAGACATGAGGAGCCTATATCGGACGATGAATATATATATTTTTTTAATTTCCCCGCGTGTGACTATATCTGGATATTTGTGAGACATGGAAAATCGAAAATTGTATTAGAAACAAATAAAAAATCGTCAAGTTCGACCGAGCCGAACTTTGTATAACATAAAATTCCTAAAAGTAGTCTATATTTTGTTGTTTTTGAAATCGATCTTGGACCTTTGGGCTAGATTCTCGTATATGAAATAAATTGAAATTGAATAATGGACGGAACACCTTTGGGGGACTATGTATCCAAAGAAAGAACAAGAAAAGTGTGAAGTCCGGAAATTTTACCAACGAGTAAAACAACAATCCGGAGGCTCATCCTCCTGTAGAGATGAAGAAGGAATCCTGGTGACAGATACAGACAAGGTGTTGAGGATTTGGAAGGAGCATTTTGCAAAACTTCTGGCATCAAATAGTAGCGGTGAAGAGGATATCCCAGAACTAATAATAGATGACGGTATAGAGTGTATACCACCTAGCCAAGATGATATCAGAATAGCAATCAATAGGCTGAATAATAAATTAGAAGGTGCCGAATCTATTCAAGACTGGTACAAGACTGATTAGTACAATTTGGCTAGAGGATTACATGCCGAATGATTGGAACCTCAGCATCCTGTCTTCCGTGCACAAAAAAGATGAGACAAGACGATACGTGCCAACTATTGAGTAATAAGTCTCCTTTCCATCGCATATAAAGTGTTATCCAGAGTGCTGTGTGAACGAATGAAGCCAATGATCAATGACATTATTGGACCAATGCGGCCTCAGACCTGGTCACCATTTACGAATTTTTAACTTTGCGCCAAATGCTGGAAAAGGCCCACGAAAAACACATCGACACATTCCACCTATTCCTCGACTATAATAAAGCCGCATTCGACATCGCTATCCGTTCAGAGGTGTTTAAAGCCATGCCTGCGTTGGGCATTCCTGTAAAATTAATACAGCTATGCAGGATAACTTTAAGTGGCACAATATCAGCAGTTAAGAGTCGGAAAGGACGTCTTTGAGTACTTCAATACCAAACGAGGATTCAGACAAGGTGACAGTTTGTCGAGTGACCTGTTTAATATCCTGCTGGAAAAGGTCTTACGAGAGGCAAAGGTGAACAGAAATGACACTCTGTACACCAAACAACACATGTTATTCGCCTACCCCCATAATATCGACATAATGAGTCGAACATTGAGAGCGGTAACAGCCACCTTTGAACAAATTGAGAAGGAGTCTGTCAAAGTGGGTCTGGAAGTAAATGGCGAGGAGACCAAGTTGATGGTATCAATGCGCAAGAAGTCCAGTAGACTCGGACCAACTGTGGAACTTGAGAAATACACCTTCGACGTAGTCAAAGATTTCATATACCTTGGTAGCGCCATAAATAAAAGTAATGACATCAGTTTGCCAAATTATTACAGCCTCTAGATGGGTAAATGCTGTTATAACATTCAAGCATGAACTACTCTTCACATTTCATTTTTGGCGCAGAATTGCTCTACGGATATCGATTCAGTTGCAGTCTGTCTCTGAAGCTTATTGTCGACATGTGCCGACACAGGACCAGTCGGTCGACACAGACCTGCTTTCGTTTGGGCACATCAAGATCCATACTCTCTGCTTCTCTAGACTATCGTGAATAAATCTAATGATCCCATGTAGATCGTCCATGCCCATAACTTCGGTCATGTCTACCGTAGACTAATTAGTTCTAGGTCACTGAAAAAAATATTCTTTAAAAATCCACGTCTCTAATAGTCATTAAAAAATCACGCCTCTAATAGTCTTTGAAAAATCCACGTCTCTAATAGTCTTTGAAAAATCCACGTCTCTAATAGTCATTAAAAAAATCACGCCTCTAATAGTCTTTGAAAAATCCACGTCTCTAATAGTCCTTGAAAAATCGACGCCTTGTCTGGGTCCCTGAAAAAATATTCTTTAAAAATCCACGTCTCTAATAGTCATTAAAAAAATCACGCCTCTAATAGTCATTAAAAAAATCACGCCTCTAATAGTCTTTGAAAAATCCACGTCTCTAATAGTCCTTGAAGAATCCACGCCTTGTCTGGGTCCCTGAAGAAATATTCTTTAAAAATCCACGCCTAGTCTCGGCCCCTGAAAAAATAATATTTAAAAATCCACGCCTTGTCTAGGTATTTGAAAAACAAAATCTTTAAAAATCCAAGCCCTCTCTAGGTCTTTATAAAAATATATTTCAAAAATCAACCTGGAAAATCACCATTAATCCGCAATCCTCCTAGTATATGTTATTAGTAATCTGTGGTATCAAAGTAATACACCATATATATATATATAAAGAAAAAAATTCAACAAAATATCTACCACAAAAAATAATTGCAAAAAAATCAATACATTAAAAACTCAATTTATAAAAAAGAAGAAGAAGAAAAGACCTACCCATGCCATCTTTTTGTATTGGTATTACAGATGGATCAATATTGCCCTTATAGGCAATTGGTGTTTTTAAAACTAAACCTGGCCGATTGACCGGTTCAATTTTACGTGTTTTACGCTGAGAACGTAGACTTGAAGTTCCACCACCCGTTGTGGTCGAAGAACCACCAGTTGTTACAGATGACGGACTATCGCCACCACCACTGCGGTGACTTGCAGCCGCTGCTGCAGCAGCAGCATCACTTAGTAATTTGTGTTTTCCACCCATTGACATGGTCAACAAATCGTTATCGTTGACCCCGTGGGGTTGGGTAATATCGATGCCGCCACTTGTTGATTTATCATTGTCGTTGATAAAATCACCATCTTCATCATAGGAATTGGAATCGGTCATCATGACAAAATCATCAATGTTGATAATTTCCTTTTTGGGCGTTAGTTCAGTGGAGTCATCACCACCATAGCTAACAGCAGAATCATCGTACATTTGGGTCTGCTGCTGCTGGTGTTGTTGTTGCTGCGGCTGATGCTGCTGTTGTTGTGTTGTTTGTGACTGTTGAAGGATTCCACCACCTCCCCCATTGCCAGCCGCTGCATTGGCCAAAAATTGGGCAGTAGTTATGGGCCTACCATTGCTGTTAACCAAAATGCCACCACCCCCGGCCGTTGCCGAGGCAACATTGAGGGCATTATTGAAATTCGCCGCAGTTGCTGCTGCCGAAACACTTGCCATATCTTCGATATTGGTGTAATTTTGAAATACCGCTGCTGCCGATTGTTGCAACAATTGCTGATGCAAACCCATTTGGGCGAAGTTGTAAATATCGTTGGTGTTTGTGGCCAATAGTGTGGTGGGCTGTAAACCAAGCGCTGCCGATGATGCTGCCACTGCAGCAGCAGCAACTGCTGCCTGATTATTGAAGTCCCCCCCAACTAAGTTCATCATTGAATTGACATCCTGCACAGAGATGGGTGTGTGTTGCCATTTTTTGTGTGTTTGTAGCCCAGGCGGGGTTTTGTATATATTTTTTTAAATTTATTTAATTTTTTGTTTTCAAAACATAAAGTAAAAAAATTGTTTTTTGTTGTTTTTGTTGTTTTGTAGGGGGGTTAGGTTTTTGTTGTGAAATAAACGTAGATTTGATTTTGTTTTGGAAACCGAATATACACATATGAAAAGAAAAAAAGAAAAACAAATAGAGAAATAAAATTTTGAAATGAAAGTTATTTTGTTTTTGGTAAAAAAGTTGAAAATAATATATATTCCAGATATTATACATAAAATAGGAAATAATGAAACGAATAAAATGAAACAAAGTGAAAGAAAATAAGTTAGGCAAAATATGATTTGAGTTTTGGTGCTGAATGTTAGTAGTTCCGTGCTTCATTTTTTTTTTTGTGATTCTTATTCGCTAAAACACTTACCATTGCTTGTTGCTGCTGCTGTTGTTGTTGTTGCTGCTGCTGTTGACCAATATCCTCCATTACGGACAGACCAACATTTTGATTGAAAAATGATGCAGCATCTTCAAGTGTAATACGTTCATTGGGATTGTATTGACTCATCCACATCATTCTCAATTCCGTCGGATTCATATTTCCAATTTTATTTTATTGAGTTATTGTCTCGGTTTTTATGTGGCATTTATATTTATTGTTTTGTTGAAATGCATATAGAGAGATGTTCCGAAAAAATATGGTAATGAAATTCAAATTGTAATTTCTGAAAAGAAAATATGAAAGTATTAAACAATAGAAAATATGTGTGTATTTAAATATTAAAATTTTATAAAAAGAAAAAATTGTGTACTTAAAAAGTAAATTGAATTAGGGGACATTAAATTCTGAAAAAAAGGTTTTTTAATGTAGGTTTCATAAAAACATTTTTAATTTATTTTTTTTTAATTTTATTAAATGAAAGTAAAAATCTGTCGGAGATAGCATCAAATTTTAAAATAAGTTTAAATTTGTTCGAATTGGTCACCATTGACACAAATTATAGCCTTCAAACGGCCAATGAAACTGCTGCCCGAATGTTGCTCTGCGGTATTTTGGCCCATTCCCGGCGAAGCGCTTGCTTGAGGTGATCGACATTTGGTATTTTTTAGTGCCAACCTTGCTTTCCAAAATACTCCAGATACATAGTCCAACGGATTGGTATCCGGAGATTTTGGTGGCAATTGTGCGCTGGAAATGTAGCGAGGAACCTCATTTTGTAACCTTTTTTGGGTGGCGCGTGCTGAATACGATGGTGCTTAGTCCTGTTGGAGTGTCAAAGGTCTGCGGCCAAAATGTTTGCGTGTCATTTTTCAATATTTGCTGAATGAAATATTGCGATATGTTCAGCTCACGATCCATTTTCGGCCACTGCGACGCGGGTTTCAATCATTTCTGTTGCTGCTTTCTTCTGTCCACTTCCTTGACATCGGGCTACGCTACCAGTATCACGGTAACGAGCGATGGTGCGAGACACATAAGATTTATTCACATTTAAATGCTGGAGGGCGATTTAGTGGATGTAGATAATTTTTCTGGGTTTCAGCGTTTCATGCTTCCAGACAGCGAGTTTGGCTTTCCACTCTTGCCAGGATTTTTCAGTGACTTTATCGACGCATACAAATATTTTTGCCATTTTCAGCAGTAGGCGAATTGGTAGGTTCGTTTGTTTGCTCAGAGGAGGGTTGTGTTTAAACAGTTTTTCTGCTTGCCTTTCTACAGTTTCTCCTTCGGCATGACTTCATCACTACCTTGCCCTCCTTCGCAGTGGAAGTTGGTGTCAGGGAACTCTCGACACTCAGAGATACCTTTTGGTGTGCTAAGTGATCACAAGTCTCAGCCATCAACGTCCTGGTTGTGCACAGACTGCTCACAATCTTCTCCTTTGGATGGGATGCAAGGTTGACTTCGGATAGTTCCCAGAGAACTTTCAAATGAATTAGAGATTCCTTTTAATTAGAAGGAATTTCATTCCGGTGATGGAGTCCCTGTCTCGTCCGATAAATCGGTTGCAGAAGTAAACTGATCTCCGGTAAATCGTTTTGTCAGAGATCTCTTTGGTATTGACGAGTTCGATTCTTTTTTGTGCTGATAATTCATCCATCGTTACGATGGGAAGGTCATGAACAATAGCCTCGACATAAATGGTCAGCTGCCTTAGAAGTCTCGAGACTTCGCTCTCGACGTTGAGATGGAGTTAGGATCTTCATCCTCGCCAGGAATTGCATTCTTTCTCTTACTATCCTTGCACTGACATCATCGAAAATGAAGGGGTTTGAAGAAACAGAAGAGTGGTCTGGTATATTGGCATTGGTCGTCATAGTTTGTAAAGGTTGATGTTGTTGTAGCAGCCCTATTGCTTTTACACAATGGGTTGAGTTGACACACGTTGGCCGAGTTAGACTCGGGTCGTCTAGGATCGTAAACCCCACTGATATGGAAACATGTTGAGGTTGATTTGGATCTGGTCTTGTATAGTTCGAATCTGTTGTTGCCAAGGTAGCCAGACCAATATTAGACAAAAAATCGCAAACAATAACATTTTTTATTTTTTGGTGAAAAAGAAGGATTTAAAATTCGGCTCCATAGAAAGTTTTTTGAAGTGAGGACTTGAGGTCGGCCATGGCATAGTCTTTTATTTGTTGCGGCACCAAGGTATCAGAAAGGATCCGTTCAAATGCAATCGGGACCCTGTCTGCAAACCTTAAACACTGATGAAGACGAGGCCGCCAAACAGAATGTTTGCTACAACTGTCACGGAATGGCCGAATTGAACTCAATGCGTTCGGAAGCGTTGTTGTTGTAGCAGCTTATACTGCTATGTATATTTCTTGTAAATGTGGTTCTGTCTGTACCGATTGAATGCAAAGTATCAGTGTGGATAAGGTCCAGGTTTACCGCACGGTCTGTAGATCTAGAGGCACCCTTATTTACCCCTGGATTTCTCTGCCTAGATGGTGTGTGCCTATCCAAAAAGTGGATTGGTTTGGATGGCTACTTCTATAACAACCAAGTAAGTATTGCATCTTGACAAGGAACGAGACACCATGTTGTAGTTCTCAGGAAAGCATTCTGTTTTCCGCTTATGCTCGATCATTTTGTCATCCGAAAGACGTGGAATTTCGAAAAGTTAGAGGTTAAAAAGCCAATAATAAAGAATTTTTTTTCGGAGATTGATAAAAATCCCTGCAGAACATATTTCATATGCTTATATATCCCCCATATAATGATTTTAAAATGTCCTCCTTAGGCAGAATCTAGGAACTTTAAATATAATAGTTTTGCAGTTGGCCAGCCTTCGGCATGAGATTTCAAAAGGTTTTCAAAACAATCCAGGTCCCAAAAACGATTTTTCGTTAGATGACAATAATCAATAGAAACATTTTTTAATAACCGTAGAACCAGGTGTCCGTACCCGAATTTCCGGGTATATCCTCAAAATTATAATAATACCTACCTCTGGAAAAAAATTGTGGATTGTTTTTACTAAACTAGAGTTAAGCTCAATAATCGGCTTATGGTCCTAACATATGGGCCATACGACGGATAGTTAATTTATGTTGGGCTCCAGGACATAGTAACATATAAAAGGGAATGAGATTGCTGACGGGCTTGCTCGAGGGGGTTCACAGTCGTCCAACCTCCCGATTGAGAGATTTGTTCAACCGCCCATTGGCTATTTCATTGGCAAAATCCGTTGATCTACGGCGAGGTAGTCGGCAACAGATGGCCAAGAGAACCTGTTTGCAGAATCTCGAAAGCTATCTGTCCTCAATTCCCTCGCCGAAGAACTTCTTCGCTGTTGCCCCATAATAAGAGAGAGATTAAAAGCATTGTGGAAATTATAACAGTTCAGATCTCTCACTTCAAAATGTGATACAAACTGAGAAAATTACTGTCGTCTATGGGAGGACGAAGAGGAGCTAGAAACAATTTAACATATCCTCTGTAGATATCCATCGCTTAGTGGCAGAAGACACAGACAGTTTGCAAAATATGAAATTGATAACCTAGCTTTCTTCTCCAAAATAGCCCCCAATCAGATCATAGGCTTTGTCAAAAATTTGCCATGGCTAAAGTAACCACTTTCTAGGATCTCCAACTCCGACTATTTTTCCTCTCTTCCACTCTCTTTTCTTTTCAGGTACGAAGGATGATCACAATGAACAATTGTCTCTGAGTGAACGGTTGCAAATTAGCAAGCGTACCTCCCTAACCTAACATATGGGCCTTGTATTTTTAAAATTCAAATATGGGTATAAATTTGTAATTCCATTGGTTCCCTTTTATAGGGGCCGGCCTAACTCTAGTATAATAAAAACGATTGGACTTTTTTGAATTGTTTTCTGGAGATGTGTATTTTTAACTTACTTATGAGGATATATGATTTTCTTGGAGGACGAACCCGGTTAGTCGGTATAATGGACCCAAGTTCGACTTTTAGGTAATTTTACCAAAAAAAAAAAAATCGGGGCCCAAAAACCAGTTTACTGACTCTATCTCCCAAACGGTTTGAGATAGCCCCTTATATTTTTAAAATGAATCCCATTTTGTATTAATCGGATCCGTAAAACCGGGTATATTTTTAAAATTAATCACATTTTGTATTAATCGGATCCGTAGAACCGGGTATATCTTTAAAATGAATCCAATTTTATATTAATCGGATCCGTAGAATCGGGCATAACCGCTTACCCGCACCCGAGCTTTCGGTTCAAATAAATGGATAACCGGGTATGTCCCAAAAAAATATGTATCTCCATAATTATGGTGAAATCGACAACCTCTGGAAAAAAAATCAGAAAAAACTGATCGTTTTTTTATTCTAAAAAAGAATTGTTCCGGGTCCTAAGTCCATATATAGCACTAAAATTGACTTCTTTCCAATATTTGCATTTTTTCTAACAACTATTAAGCCCGGATTATTTTCACATTAATATAATTATTTTCACACAATCAATTTGTATGCTGGGATATTCGCACAATACCCCCGAAGACCAACCGTAAACAAACATTCGACAGAAGTTCAATACTACTTAGCAGGCATCAGAACAAGTTGAGCGGAGACTTCGCATATGGATGAAATTTTGTTTGGTTTTAATTTGCACTTTAACCAAAATTAAGTCACCAAAATTCCAAAAAACGAAAAACCAATTACATTGGCTTGTGTACGACGAACGAACTTAGCGCCGCGTTTAATGTTGTAAAACAGCACCACAAAAAACACACACACTCACAAACAAACGCAAGCCTTGCCGACGTCGTCGTTGATTGTTATAGGCATTTCGTTTATTTTTTTAATTTGTTTTGCAAAAATTCATATGAAGCAGCGATATGGCAGGCAGACAAACCGAATCTGTTTGCAGCAGTCCATTGACGAATTGTTTACTACAAGAACAACAACAAAACATTCACAAAATTTATCAAAACATTATTGGGAACTTTTATCTTCAATATCAACTAATTATTTCTCCTTTTATTTTGCCCAAAAAAATAGCATAAAAGAACAAAACACACTTGGCACAAACACACACACGCATATAGAACAGCCAACAGCAGCAGCGTGTGTGTACGTACCTAAACCTGAGAAAAATCAACTAAAAACGCACACACACATAGACACGCATTTGCACATCGAAGCGACCGACGAAAATCACAAACATATTTTTCGACACTTTCTCGTCGTTTTTACTCACCAACTTCACTGAAATTCAATAGAGTTTTATTTGTTCTAATTGTTAAACATTGTTTTGATAGATTTCCACAGGTTTTTTGTATTCAAAAAGTTATATTTTTTCGGTAGGCGACAAAAGTGTATAATTTAGGGATAAGTAAATTGACTTTCGACTACACGACTCGATTAATCGACTTTAAGTCGAGTACACACTATCATTTTGGACTGTCAGCTCATTTATCGATTACTGACTGTCAAACAACCATAGTAGTTGTCTGATGAATAACAAACATAACGGCGTTGCTATTGAAATTGAAAGGGATTGGCGATATTACACGACGGTAATTTAATGTAGGTTTTGATATTGTTTACATTGTGTTTTATTAAAGCACGTAATTTATTGAAAGTAAAATCTAGAAAAAATAAACTATTTCATATGGAGGAGAAGGGAAATAAGATGTACGTGTAGATTTGCTGGTAGAAAATCGGAAATGTCGATTTTCAAATACATTTCTTTCTGGATTTTTTTTTCTGAAAACCCCCTATAAATCGACCACTTACATGAAGAGGGGAATATCTGTCGATGCAATATCTGTTTAGGTGATATAAAAGGAGCCATACAAACCAAATCATTTTATGGATATGCCCCCACAAACTACTAAGCATACCAGAAAGGATATTTATGGTATACAGGTACAAAAGGGTTCCGCTATATCAATAGAGGCCAATCAAGCAGCAAATTTATACCGTTAAGGAAGCAATTCAAGAATACATGCTGTATACAAACCTCGGAGAACATCCACCTTCTTTAGCAGCAGAAGAGCATCAGCTACCGATACAAACCACGTCATTTCACCGACAGATGGGGTCTACGATCCAAAAGACCCGATTATTACTCGGTCAATGCCTCAAATTCGTATTGGGCACGAATTGATGGCACATTAGACAGAATCTGCCCGGCATCTGGTAGTGGTCCAATGAAGAAGCTACACCTGTACAGGCTGCAACCTTTTTGAATCTGGAGTTAGAAACAGAGAAAGCTTAGCAGGAAAATTACATAGCTGTATATGCTGATATGATGAGATGAGCGATTTGCTATAATCCGTATAAACGTTATTCTACATCAGTCTTATTTGCGCCCATGCTCCGACTGAAGACAAAGATGAGCAGGCCAATGACATATTTTACGAGTGCCTAGAGGCAGCATATGACAGCTTCCCTGACCATGACATTAAAATCCTGCTAGGAGATTTTAGTGCAAAAATCGGAAGGGAACATTTTTTTGGCCCCAACGTCGGAAAATTCAGCCTACATGAAGAAACATCCGACACCGGCATGAGGTTGATTGACTTCGCGGCAGCAAAAAACATGGTAGGTAGCAGCACCAGATTCAAGCATCTCGATATACACAAGGTCACCTGGATTTCTGCTGATCAAGCATGATCAAATTGATCATGTTGTGATAGACGAAAAGCATTCGTTTAGTGTTTTAGATTTTCGATCGATACGAGGAGCAAATATTGATTCAGACCATCACCTTGTGGCAGCCACCCGTGTTAATGTAACAGCAAATGTGCGATCTAATGTAACAGGGAAACTTGACGTCGAAAAGCTGCAAACATAACAGGTAGCAGAGGAACAATTTTTGCCATGACTGTTCTTGAAAGATTTTCGTAATAAAATATATTTATCGATTAGTCAAAAATCGACTTATATATCCCTATTTTGTTGGGAAAATAAATCAGCTGATTGATATACGTTCACGTCTCCTTCTTATTGCCAGCTATACTTCACACTCTTTCGTAAACAATATTTGCCAATCGGTATTTTCTTCCAATCTTAACTTTTATCACCCATTTTCTCCTGTTTCGGACAACGAAGTAGTGGACTGGAATATAATTTTCCCGGTAGACAAAAATGCCCACAATAATAGCCCTAGATGTCTCGCTGTCCATGCAGCGCACCATACCCGGCCGAAGTGAGGAGAATGCCATAACTTACCATCAATTGGCGCTGAAGGGAATATCACAGCTGTTGGAATATTTGTCCATATCTAAGCTGGAATATGTGGCCCTGCTGACCTATAGCAGTAGCTGTGAACTCAAAGTGGATTTCACCCGAGATTATGATCAAATAAAACAGGTGGTTAAGAAAGTGGAAGCTGTGGACAAACTCTGTCTGATGACGTTGATGAAAAATGTCGGTAGTATCTTTACGACAAATTGGGGTACCCAATCCCAATGTCAGGTAATTGCATTTACCGATTGTGGTCTGGGTTTTGGCAGTACTTCGCTGAAGACCTTCCTACAGAATTATGCCGGCAAGGAAAATGAACCGGAATATGGATGGGTGAAGGCTATAAAACCGGTTAAATGGAATTTCATTTGTTTGGGTGTGCATGCCGATAATTATTTTACCCGGGCGGTGGGCGTGTATCAGCAGTTGTTAGATTTAACGGGGGTTAAGGGTAGGTTGGATTTTATTTTTATTAGAAAAATGGGTTATTAATTTTTCTTTTTGTGATTTTTAGGCCAATTGTATATGACCAAGGCACCCAAGGATTTGGAATCCTCAGACACTTCGATTACGGAAACTTTAAAGAACCCTTTGGGAGGAGGCCACAAAAGTGAGCTGGGCCGCACCGCAATGTTTGAAATGATTGAAAAGTTGTGTGAAACCAATTACAAACCCTATGAAGTCTCGCTAAAATGTGGTGGTTATTTCCGTTTGGAATGCCAGGTTATATTATGGCCTCCACCTCTGCCATATCAATCGCCGGAAAATGAAAAAGCCACACCTGTGTCTTTGGCTTCCAAATTGGAAATTTGTGGTTATTTGTCTCTCTCGGATATTGGTTCCCCCTCTTCGTTAAGTCGCCATTTGATTATACCCAAAATTGAAAGAGAAAAACCCAGTCGAAGATCCTCCGATAAATCGGGAAGTGCCAGTAAAATATCCAACGAAAAGACCCCAAAACTTGATGTCAACAATGTCAACTATGAATATGAAAAATTGGAACAGGATATACGAGATTTCTATACCAAAGATGTTAAGGATACGGAAGAAACCTCGGGCCAGAGTACCGACGACGCGGATAAGAATTCTTCAACGGGTGCGAATGCGACCTTATCGGAAATGCAAAAGGAGTCAATGTGTGCCCTATTACATGGTGCCCTTAAGGTGGAAAATCTGGCTGCATTGGTTTTACTTAACCCCGAAAATTCGTGGTATGGCTTCCTCTACTCCTATGCGGATAGTAAAAAGAAATCAAATTTAATGTTAAATATTTTACCACCGGGTAGTAATGTCATACCCTGGTTGGGTGATTTACAAATGCTCGGCTTTGCCGAAGATGTATTACCGGGAGAGACAGCCTCTTTTCCCGTCAAGGCTGACAAACGTTCATATTCGCAAAATTTTGTCGTATGGATAAATCGTATTAGCCTGCAATCGGATGTACAGAAGGTTCTGCGTCATGCCAAAAAGATGCCAGAGAAGACGCAACATTTCTATAAGGAATTAAATCGTATAAGACGGGCTGCCTTGTCGATTGGTTTTATAGAACTCCTCGAAGCAATGGCAACCCTATTCGATAAAGAGGCAATCAATTTAACAGCCTTAAATGCCAATCCCGAATGTATGGTCCAGCTAAAACATGCATCGTTGGAATTAAGGAAGCCAGCAAATCGTGATTTAAAGGTTTCCATTGTGCCGGTACCGGTCCAAACTGTTAATCCCACAGCTCAGGGTGTGCCGCCAGCAGCAGCCAATTTTGTTTTTAATTAAGAGGATTATTGTTTGATATATTTTTTGTAATTTTTTTGCATGTATTTTTAAGCGAGGATTAAGATATCGATACGAAAATATATTATTAAGATTTCAATTCGGGTATATCGATATAGAGGTTAACATCTTTGTAATCTATTTTCTCCAATTCATTGATTATTTCAGAGTGAATTTTTGTTTGCGAATCTAGGTGAGCATATTTCCAACATTCCAATGCTTGGTAATTGGCATTTTGTTTTAAATTAATCAGGGCCATATAGGCCCATACATTTGGTAAATATAATCCATAGCGGGTACTATTCGCAAAGGCCATTTCAGCTTCGTTGAGGTCTCCCAACTATTAAGGGGACTGTTTTTAGATACATTGTCTATTTCATAGGTGGGTTTTACTTACTTGATAGCATGCCTTTGCCTTTCCAATGTGGGCTATTATACAATTCCCGATTTCTTCGGTATTCTGGCAGCATAGCGAAAATACGTCTTTGGCTTTTTCGAAATCCTTTTCTCTCATCAGATAATACGCATAGCGTATAATACCTAAATTATATGCTGCGTAATTCAGAACCTTTATTTCGGAAATTTGCGCATAATATTTCATAGCCATGTCTGTGGAACCATTGCGATAATATTCGATATTTCCATTTACTTGAGACAGCGTTCCGCGCTGTGAAATAACAAAACTATATAGACTCTTCACTATGATTATGATTTATTAATTTTGTTTTCTTACCAAATACTCCGGATTCAAATACTTTTCGACGGGGAAATTTCTCACATTGAATTTCTTTTCAAATCGATTTAAGAATATATTAAAATTGCCGGCCATCATATATTGCTCAAATTCCAATGCTTCCGCGGCTATTTCATTGAATACCCATTCGGCAAATTGATATAGACCCAGTTGGGTAAATAATTTTACAACTTTATAGAAATGTTGAGCTTTGGCCGATTTAAAATCAATTTCATATGGTAAATACATGTCCCAACGTGACGTTGGTATTGGTGGAATATTTGGGAATTCCAGATGACAAAGATTTTCATATTTCCAACGGCAATATTCGATGCCAGGTAAATATTTTGTTTGCTTATAGAGGCAATAGAGTAGAATCCAGGAGGAAATATTTTGGGGATTATTTTCACAGTATTGGGATAGGTTGTAGATGAGATTCTCGAGGGCGGTGGTAGGTGTTTCAAAATCATCGGGAGTTTGTTTATAGGTTATATATAATTCGATAATGGGGCTGGAGAATGTATGGAGGAAATGAGGGAGGGGAATTAAAAATCGAAAACATATATTAAATAAATCTACGCCTTTATTGGTCCCTGAAAAACTATTTTAAATAAATCCACACCTGTTTAGGTCCCTGAAAAACTATTTTAAATAAATCTACGCCTGTTTTGGTCCCTGAAAAACTGTTTTAAATAAATCCACACCTGTTTAGGTCCCTGAAAAACTATTTTAAATAAATCTACGCCTTTTTTGGTCCCTGAAAAACAATTTTAAATAAATCCACGCCTGTTTTGGTCCCTGAAAAACTATCTTAAATAAATCCACGCCTGTTTAGGTCCCTGAAAAACTATTTTAAATAAATCCACGCCTGTTTTGGTCCCTGAAAAACTATCTTAAATAAATCCACGCCTGTTTAGGTCCCTGAAAAACTATTTTAAATAAATCCACGCCTGTTTTGGTCCCTGAAAAATTATTTTAAATAAATCCACGCCTGTTTTGGTCCCTGAAAAACTATTTTAAATAAATCCTCGCCAGTTTTAGTCTTTGAAAAAATATTTCATTTTTACTCACCTAAAATATTCCCCTCCAATATATTTCTCTTTCAATGGCCTTTTTAAATATTCCTGAGCCGCTATGAAATTTTGATTCTCAATATTCCACAGAAAAAGATAGAAATTCAACATTGGATTGCCCTCATATTTTTCCAGCAGTTTTTCCTTTAAATATTCTGAAAATTCGGAATTTCCAACCTCATATAAATATTTACAAATATTGAGTTGGAAAGTCAAATCATTTTGAATTTCCTCCGCGGTATAAAGACACTTGTCCGAACCCTTCGGACTACATTCCATAATGATGCCATATATGCGTTGTGAAAGTTCCTGATAGACCATAGTCATAAGGTTCTAAAAGGAAAGATTTAAAATTGTACTTTAGGATCAAATCTGAAATGCGGAAACTATTACCGAAAATTCAATATTATTGTGGGTCGGTACACGCCTATTAAAATCACATGCCACTAGACGTAGAATCTTATTACTAAGATTACTCAGTTGCGAATTATAGAACTGCCTATCATCCTGCATGGTTCGGATGTTATGCCTTAGAACGTAGTCAGCCATTTCCAGAATTGTATCATCAAAATTACGATAGGCTTCTTCACGAATGGTTTTTATAGTTTCCTTGGTAATTTCGTGAATACCGATTTTCTTTGGACATCGTATAAATTCGGAACATTTTATTTCTGACTTGGGAATATGTGTCATATTTTCTATTGGTTGTGTAATGGGTTTCTGAAGATATATTTTCATTATGGCAAAGGGAACTTTTTCTTTAGTATTGGATTGGGATTGAAGTGTTGATCGCCTGGAGGTCTCCGTTGTTGATTGGGAATCTCTACGTTTTCCTTTTTTAGTGGATTTCTTGGGGATTGGATCTTTGGGTATTGGAAGGATGGGTTTTCTATAGCCAGGTGGTCTCATTTCAATGGCAAAGGTGCAACTGTGGACTGGAAAAAATATTTTAAATAAATCCACGCCTGTTTTGGTCCTTGAAAAACTAATTTTAAATAAATCCACACCTGTATCAGTTGTGAAAAAATTATTATTTGTCTTACCCTGAGGATACATGAAAACCGATAATGGCATGGTACCCTGCAACACTATCACATCCGGCTCTCCTTCCCTCAGAAACTCCACCAGCAGATTATAGCTATTAAAAGCTAAAATATCCTCCAATTGCCTTTCCATATCATCCGAGAGTACATAACGAAACATAGAATTACAAATCCATGCCGAATCGTTGCCTCCATCAATATCCTCCAAATTAATATCGGAATTTTCATTTTTCAAAAGATCATAAAATAATGTTTGCGGATTCACTTTCATTCCGCTCATTATGGTCATAGTTTGTTCATTTTGAAATTGAGAATTTTTCAGATTCTCCCATTTTATATCAAGCACTTGATCGCTAATCAGCTGTTTGGAAAAGGCGCGAAAACTGCAAAGGGGTATTTTTTCCAAGTCCCCATTTTCATTGGGCATATTTGCAACCATGGAAAGCTTGGCAATTAAATCTTCACATGAATTGTCAAGGAGATCCTCTTCAATATTGTAAATCGAAGCAAAGGTTAGGAAGAGAACATTAGCGAAGTTCATATCTTTTACGAGAGGATGTAGGGAATAGATTTCCCATTCAATTTTACAGGTTAAACGATGATTGGATGTGGTTAAAGGATATAGAAATACAGTAGTCATAGAACGTACCCGCGTTTTACAAAAGAAATCCAAGAGGTCAATATATCCCTGGGCCACGGCCCGACGTTCTATAATAATCAAGTCATCACTTACTTCAGCTTCACCTTCCATAGATAATTTCTCAAAAGCTAGATTATCCGTTTTTCGAACACTATCACCAATAGAATCTTCTTCTTCGTCCTCCACACCGCTCACATCTGGCCAAAATGGTCGGGATAAATTCACATAAAGGTTTAGAGTTAGGAAACAATTATTTACATCATCGATGTCATCCTGATTGAGGGTTATACTAAATGTGGGTCTTTCTCCCGAAGAGAATTCTTCTAAATGAATTATATTATCCGTGGTATAATGATCGGCTAGTTTGGTTATGGTATTGTATTGATGTTGCAATTCGATTTCTACAGATGTGACATTATTTGTTTGGTCTCCCGGTTCCTCATCCAGGGGATAGAATATTGATTTTGGCTGTAGATATAGAAATATTCGCTTGGGATGATTTTCTGCTACTGGTGCAGATGATGTTGGTGAGGATTCTTCAGCTTGGGATTTTCGTTGTTTATTAGAGCTACGACGGCCCATTTTTCAACTAAAAATTGAAAATTAATGTATGTATGAAGAATACAAAATATAATTATTTTTAAAATTCAAAAGAATCAGAAGTTATATCTGAAACACTTTTCACTTTTTTCTGAAACACTTTTTTTCAACAGGCGTGGAAAAAATAAATATAAAATATTTTTTTTCAACATTTAATATAGGCGTGGATTTATTTAAAATATTTTTACACATTTAAAATAGACGTGGATTTGTTCAAAATAATTTTTCAACATTTAAAATAGGCGTGGATATGTTTAAAATATTTTTTCAACATTTAAAAATAGGCGGGGATATATTTAAAATATTTTTTCAACATCTGAAACAGGCGTGTATTTATTTAAAATATTTAACAGGCATGGATCTATTTTTAATATTTTTTCAACATTTTTCACATTCGTCCTATCACTCCCTTCCCCACAATGCATGACTATCACTTTTATTGCTGGGTTATCACTCCAATGTGTTATCACTTCAAAGTACGCAAACTAGAATCAATGTCGAAGAAGAAGAAGAAGCATAACAACAACTTTTGAATCATCTAGACATTCCCGACACACAACTCCCATTGAAAATCTTTGCTAGAAATGGGTTCTCCGGAATTACCCAGTGATGGTGGTGAGGAGGATTTACGTCCAACACATATTGTACATCATCCAGTGGCGGCGGTGGCCAGCGATGATAGTGATAATGACTCGATGAACGATTATGATGGTTATCAACCTCTAGCTATGGATGAGAATCATCAGGGCTATGTGCAGCATGGAATGGATGATGATGAGGAGGAAGATGCTGATGTTGATTTCAATACAATTCGATCACAACCAAATACACGGCCTGAGAATAACGACGACGAGTCCCCTGAAGTGACATATGGTGATCCAAATTTACCACCCGTCGAAAGTATAGATGCGGAAGTGGAGCGAGAGGTGTGGAGTCAACCCAGGCCACAGGAGTTGCAAATTGAATTGGATAGTAATAAGACACAGCAGGTGAGAATCAAGATTTTAGAGAAAAGTAAATAAGAATATTTAATATTACCTGAAATTGTCCCAAAGGGCCCTCATATTAAAGGTCATTCCTTATATTATAGAGGTGGATTAATTTCAAATATTTTCTCAACATCATTCACAGACGAGGATTTATTTCAAATATTTTTTCAGGGACCAAAATAGGCGTGTATTTATTTCAAAATTTTTTTTTTCAAGGAACAAAACAGGCGTGGATTTATTTAAAGGCATAGAAAACATATTCTTTAAAAAATCCACGCCTTAGAATTTGTTGTTTTTTTAATCCACCCCTTAGATTTTTTTGTTTTCTAAATCCACGGCTTAGATTTTTTTAACTTTTGAAAAAAATATTCTTTAAAAAACCCTCACCTTGAAAAAATAATTAAAAAACCAACGCCTTGAAAAAATGTTCTTCAAAAAACCACGCCTTGAAAAAATGTTCTTCAAAAAACCATCGCCTTGAAAAAAATATTCTTTAAAAAATCCACGCCTTGAAAAAATATTCTTTAAAAGTCCACGCTTTTATGGGACCTTCCATTAACTAGTTTTTTATTCTTCCAGATCTTAACCGCCATGGCCAATTTTTCTTTACCCAATATGGCTGTACCTTCATGGGCTGATGGTGTGCCAGAAGAACGTTGGAAAGAGGAGCTGTTGGAACGTATACGACAAAGAAAACCAGCTTCCGGTGACGCTCAAATGGACGTAGATAAACAAACTAAAGTAGATTAATTAAGCAAAATATTCCAAATGTTTTCTTTTCAAATCATTTCAAACAATTTTGAATTAATTAAATTCTATATTTAAAAATGATTTGAAAAAAGCAAATTATCTTATTTTTTAGGATATGAATATAAACATATTTATCGTAATAGGCAATTGTGTTATTTTCTCATTAACATATTTCAGATATTGTTCGAAGAATATTGAATTGAAATTCGGGGTATTCATCTGAAAATATTATTAATATTGAATTTATTCTCAGATAAATATTAGATACAAATGGATAAATAAAAAATAGTATTTTATTGTATGTTGTTGGTTTGTTTTTAGTTTATCTTCTTCTTTTTCAACTGCAATGCTACAAATATTTGATGATTTGATTAAATATTTAATATATGTATGTATGCTCTATAGTGAAAAAAAAAACAAAAGTAGAAATAATTTCCGCTCCTCAACCCCAAAAAATCTTCACATTAGTGTTGTTTGACACGACCACATTTTCAAAAAGCAGCCAATAGAGCTGTACCAGCCTTATTGATTTTCGCAAATGTCTCAACCTGGGGTGTATTTGTTAGCTCCCGCAATTTATCCATAACATAATCCACAGAGATTACCAAAGCCGAAGTTTCTTGGCCGAAAGGTGTAGTGGTCATATTACCCAATGCTTGCATACAACGATAACAGGCCTCCAAATCACTGGCCCACTTGAGGAATTCAATTAAACCTTCGGTTAAAATTCGACATTTATCACCATTAGCCAACCCAGTGGTTTGTGTTATGGTCTGATTCAGATAGAATGTGGCAATGGCAATCTGTAAATTATTGCTACCCGATTTAATGTTATTAATATGTTCGACCAACGGGGCCAAACGTATATCAACTTCTTGACGGCCAGCCGCATGATTCATACTATTTGCCAAGGTCCGTACGATCATAAGTTGATTGGGTGCCGAGGTGGCAATATGTGGCAGTAGAGCATCTAGGAAATTCATCGAATTCAATATGACAAATATCGATTCATTGCGCACAGCCAGGCGTATAATGTCGATTACGGGGAACAGGAGTTCTGTAAAAAAGGGGGAGATTTTAATTTGAAATGTAAAAAAGGAGGAGGAAAATTTGTTTCACTTACCACTTGGCCATCTCAGTAGGATTTGTAAAGCTTCGATGGATGTTTGCTCCACCTCGGGAGCTGGATCTGTTAGTTTGATGCAAGCCTCCAGAAGAGTGTCGGATACTTTTTCATTAGTGGCAGGCAATTTGCTGTTAAATTCTCTGAAGAAAAAAGAAAACAAATTAAAACGGACATTTTAAAGGCCAAAGAAAGGCCATTTGAAGTTTTTCCTTTGGACAAGGTTCAAATAGCGGTAACAAAATCAACAATTGGGAATTGATAAAACCTTATTTCCATAACCCTTAGAAATTTCCCGTACATACTTGAGTTTTTCCAAAACCTTGCTAGGATCACAAACGTCGAATGTTAAATATTTGCTGACCGGGAAATGTTTTTCACCTGAAATTAAAATACATCAATTAAAACCTTCCTTTTAAAGGACACCCATTTTTCCCTACCTTTTACAAAATTAACATCCACCTTAGGAGCCTGCGCCTGGCTGGCAGCAGTACTGTAACTAGAACCACCGGTAAATGGATCCATATTACCAGCCGATTGAAAATTGCTATTACTTGAGCCGGGTACATAACGATTGCCACCGGTAAAGGGATCCTGATAGGCTCTAAAAATAACAGAGGAAAATAAATTATAAAAAAATTTCAGAAGTATTGAAAACCCCTTACCCCGTATTGGTGGCCGTCTGTATGGGAGTGCTATCGGCATTTTTGATTATGAAATTTGCCACTTGATCCAAATAGGCCTGAGGTAATTGATGGCGATGTATAAATGCCTGGGCAGCATGCCAAGGATCTTCACCACGATTATAGGGCAGTTTGAGAGGTGGTTCCGTATCGGATATATCTACTGAGAATACATAGTCATATTCCTGGAAAGGAAACAAAAATAAATCAGAAAAGGGAAAACAAGGATCACACAGGGGCCTGATCTGATCAATATTTTTTCTTTAGAAGAAAGTAGTCCTCAGGGACCTGAGCAAATTTTTTTCTATGAGAATTTTTTCCATTCGAAAGATAGTCCTCAGGGACCTAAGGATTTTTTTCCATTCGAAATAATAGTCTTCAGGGCCTAACGATTTTTTTCCATTTGAAAAAATAGTCCTCAGGGCCCTGACGAATTTTTTAAATTCGAAAGAGGGGGCTGACGATTTTTTTCTATAGAAAAAAATAATCAGGAGTCCTGAAGATTTTTTTCTATAGAGAAAATAGTCCTTAGGGGTCAGAGGATTGTTTTAACTATAACAAATAGTCCTCAATCGTCTGAGGAAATTTGTCCATAGATAAAGGTAGTCTTCAATGCCCTTATGCAAATTTTTTTATGGAAAAATAGTAAATTATAACAATCCACTCACCTTGCCATCATGCAGTTTCTTGCCCGACGTAGTTTGAGTGGCCCCAGAGGCTCCGGTGACATCACCCACTAATTTCCAGTTACCCAATTCCCACATATAACACTTGACCGAACCATCAGGATGTCTAACCATTTTGGTTTGGCCTTCACGTGTACCATTTGTCAACAAGGATTCCGGGCCAGGTAAACTACAACAAAAATTTAAATTTCAAAATTAATCAAAATAAAAAAATATTTGCAAAAACGGAAACCTACTCTGTTTTCTTGACACCACCCAAATCTTCGGACATTTGTTGTTTACGTGTTTCCACGGCCAAGCTGTGTGCCTTCAACACAGCCTCTGAGGCAACACGAGCAGCATCTTTGGTAAACACCCTGACAATGCCATCACTTGAACCAGTAACAATATCGCCATTTTGCAGACATGTTACCGACCACACCGACTGGGCGGGATGGACCAAAGCATCACCCAACTGCTGGCCAGTGCTGATATTCCACATACGCAGTGTACTATCTTCACCACATGAAACAATGAAATCATCTCCCAAGGCTTTGAGGCGCGCCAAGGAATAAATATAATTGTTATGACCATTCATTTCATGGACACATTCACCATCTTCATTCCAGACTCGAATGGTGGCATCATTGGCACAGGATATTAAACAGCCATTGTCCATGGCCAATATGCTGCGAACACAATCGGTGTGGCCCTTGAGCAGGCGTAGCTTCTCTCCCTTGGCGTTCCAGAAACAAATACTTTTGTCTGCCGAACCGGTAATGAATTTCTTTGTTTGCGGCATCGAGGCCACGGACCACACAGCCGCTTCATGTCCCTTTAATTCAACAAATGTATAGGCTCCTGTCTGATCTATGGTCCAAATACGTGCCGTCTTATCCCAACTTCCGGTAATAATGCTATTTGGTTCCACCCCGGCTGCAATACTGCACACTGTCGATTCATGACCCTTGAGCGTTAAAATTGGCAAAATGGCATTTTCCGCATAAATGCACACGGTGGCATCATTACTGCCGGTACATAGCCATCGTTGTGGTTCATAAAAGAAGACACACGAGACGAAATTTTTGTGATCCTGCAATGTGACAGCTTCGACGAAACCATTATCCAAAGGTTTCCACAATTTGGTGGTTTTGTCTCTGGAGCCAGACACAATCATTTGTCCCGATTCCGTTATGGCCCCCGACGACACGGAGCGTACATCCATGCTATGACCCACAAGCTCACAGCTCAGTTTATAGCTGTCTAAGGTATTTGCCATTTCTATTTTGTTTTGATGTCGTTAATAAAGTCAGTTCGATTTTCTGCAACTGCAATAACAAAAATTAATTTCTCTGGTTTTCGTTTTGCAAAAAAATTCCGGCCACAAAGATGATATTTAAAAAAATTGCGATAGCTAGAGAATGAATGACAACAACAAGGCAACACAACAATTCACTTTGCAATGATAGCTACGAATTTTTTGCAAACTTTTCTTCTTCTTCGTTTGTTGTTATGACACATCTGCCTTTGTTTGTGTAATTACAGGATGATTCAGACAAAGTTAAATGTAAATCAATCACAAGGTGATTCTTGTCATAAAGAAAAAATGGTTCCGGCCTTTGAGAAATATTTTTTCTATAGAATATTTATTCTCGGGGGGACTATTTTTTCTATAGGAAAAATGTGCTCAGGCCCCTGAGGACTATTTTTTCTATAGGAAAAATGTGCTCAGGCCCCTGAGGACTATTTTTTCTATAGAAAAAATGTGCTCAGGCCCCTGAGGACTATTTTTTCTGTGGAAAAAATGTGCTCAGCCCCCTGAGGACTATTTTTTCTATGGAAAAAATATGCTCAGGCCCTTGAGGACTATTTTTTCTATGGAAAAAATGAGCTTAGACCCTTGAGGACTATTTTTTCTATGGAAAAAATGTGCTCTGGCCCTTGAGGACTTTTTTTGTATAGAAAGAATGTGCTCAGTGCTCAGGCCACTGAGGACTATTTTTTCTATAGGAAAAATGTGCTTAGGCCCCTGAGGACTATTTTTTCTATAGAAAAAATGTGCTCAGGCCTCCGAGGTCTTTTTATTTCTATAGAAAAAAATGTGCTCAGACCCTTGAGGACTATTTTTTCTATAGAAAGAATGTGCTCAGTACCCGGAGGACTATTTTTTCAGTCTCCGAGGACTATTTTTTCTATAGGAAAAATGTGCTCAGGCCTCCGAGGTCTTTTTATTTCTATAGAAAGAAATGTGCTCAGGCCTTTGAGGACTATTTTTTCTATAAAAAAATGTGCTCAGGCACTTGAGGACTATTTCTTCTATAGAAAAAAATGTGCTAAGGCACTTGAGGACTATTTGTTCTATAGAAAAACTGTGCTCAGGCCCCTGAGAATTATTTTTTCTATAGAAAAAATGTGCTCAGGCACCTGAGGACTATTTTTCTATAGAAAAAAAATGTGCTCAGGCACCTGAGGACTATTTTTCTATAGGAAAAAATGTGCTCAGGCTTTTGAGGACTATTTTTTCTATAGAAAAAAATGTGCTGAGGCTCCTGAGGACTATTTTTTCTATAGAAAAAATGTACTCAGGCTCCTGAGGACTATTTTTTTTTCTATAGAAAAAATGTGCTCAGGCTCCTGAGGACTATTTTTTTTCTATAGGAAAATGTGCTCAGGCCCCTGAGGACTATTTTAAAAATATTCTTTAAAAAATCCACGATTTAGATGCTCCTTAAAATATATTCTTTAAAAAAATCCACGCCTTTTTTAGGTTCACAAAAAATATTTTATTAAAAAAACCACGCCTTGTTTAGGTTCTCAAAAAATTTTCTTTAAAATCCACGCCTTACTTAGGTCCTCAAAAATCAGTTGGTCCTTGAAAAATATTCTTTAAAGAATCAGCTTTATTAAAAATAGTAGTCTCTGCATCCGTTCCCCCTCTTCCATCCTCTCATTGATTAAATTGTGTAACTTTCTATTTCCTTTTTCCGCATAACTTTTTATTTTATTTGTAGTCCAAAACTTTCTCCAACACTTTTCCATCGAAACGGATATTTATTTTATTGTTTTATGTGTTTACCTATGTTTTTTTTATTCCTTTACGCTGTCTGTGCCTGTCCGCACCTTTTTATTCGATGCGGTTACATCGGTTATAAATCCACTCATAGCTAAGCTAACTTTCGTTATTTCCTCACAATGTGGGTTTTGAGGGGTTTCTGTTGCTTTTTTTGTTTTCATCCTTTTTGTACTCGATTGTATTACTTCATGTAGATGAAAGTTATTTGTTTTTGTTGTTTTTTTTTTGTTGTATCAGCTTGAAGGAAAACAAATACATCTCTCGCTTGGTGAACGCATTTAAATGTTAAGGTTTTTGGTTTTTTTATTGCAAGGAAAAGTTTTAGATGAATAACTTCAAATAAAATTGAAATATTGAAGTCTAGGCGAAGATAAGAAGGAAACAAACGGTGAAAAGTTCCGTTATCTTTTCAACCACCCATCAATTGACCTACTACAAAAGTTACTTCTTGCCCAACCTTAAATAGTTACAATAGAAAACTCTTAAATTTTACCATAACCTCCTCCTAACAAAGCTTTTTGTATATGAGATTTCCATATTAGATATTTTTTTTAATTATAGTTTTTCTTTTTCGTAATAGGATTCTTTGAACTTCGATATTCTCTCTGAAAAAATATATTTTACTGTTTTTTTACAATAAAAACAAACGTTTTTCTTTCCAATTGACCAACTGGGCGAATGAGTATCGTCGTCACTCATACGCTCCATTACATGTAAGTATGTATTCATTATTTCGGATGAGTGTTGTCGTAACTCATACGCACAGTGGGAAAAAATACCGATCTAGCGCGCAGAAAATCAAAAAATGAAGTTGAAGGAAACTTTATAACTTTAATGCAGTTTTAAAGTAGAGTGTTGAGAGTACTTAAGTCCGTATAAAATAATCCGAATTAATAAGCTAGAACGGAATAACGGTACATTTAAAATAGAAAATTTTTCCAATGTTAAAAATGGCATTTTTTAGCTATAAAATTGCGATGGTCGTGTTCATTCTGTGAATATATTATTATAAAATTTTGTCCATTTTTGATATATAGTATTGGTATTTAATTAAATTGTATAGTTATATAACCCATAAGTTATTTTAATTTAGGTGTTCCGGGCTAAATATATGTAAGGTCCGTTTTTTTAAATTCCTTCAATTAAAATAGGGGTTTAGTATGGAGTGCAGTCGAGTTCAGCTTTGATTTTTGTTTTATTTTTCTTGTGTGTCTGTCTAGAACATCATACTAAATTTTTTCCTGCGACTTCCTGCGATTCTCGGATTTATGGCAATTTTTTTGAAAAAATGCCAATTTGGTGTAGGAAGCTTTTTTAAGGTTTCCTTTAAATAAAATTAAAAATTTGTGAATTTTTTTGATATAATTCATCAAATATGACTTGGAATAGATCACAGCATAGCAGATAAGAAAAAACAAGTTCAAAATGTCCATCCTAAGGTTCCAGAGTACTGGGTGTGAGTAGGAAAATGAGGGTATTTAAGTAAGCTGCTCCAAACGTTGATTTTAAACTCATGCCCTGAATATACATTTATTCCAAATGTCTTTCTAAATAAAAATTGAAATTACAACGAAATCGGTTGTAAGAGTCTTCTAAAATACCGCAGGTAAAGGGTCCACTTTATGAACCCTGGAAAAATATCATTGGTGTAACATTCATATATACACTGTTTTACCTATATTTATGATTTTCGTGGAGGTGGAGTTTATGGACTTTTATTATACCTGTTATGGAGTTTCCAATGACTGACATGACTTCGGATGACTTTACTTCTTTGTCATACGAATTTCGTTAGGGTCGGATACAGGTATCAGTTAATTATGAATGCAAAAATACATATTATTTATAGACTTTTCTACCTATGAATGAAAAATCCGCATTTAACAAATGTTCATTCATAGATTTTTCTCATTCAATAAGTGTCAAAGAACGGGATTATACAAGTTATAAACAAGTGAATGGCGATTTATTTTAGTTCTTAAACAAGTGAAGTGGAAAAATGTCAATTTTGTACAGAGAGCTCTTTGGCTAAAATCTAAAAATGGCTCTGATGTAAAGGAATATGCATTAAATAGACTTGGAGTTAATGCTACCGATTATTCAAACGCTAAAGGGATTTGTCGAACAGTTACCACGCTATGTACGCGATTTAAAACGAAATGTATGGCCGCCAGAAGGAACAAAAAACAAATGGAGCGTCAGCATGGAAATTGGCTGATATAATTAAATGTGCAGCTTTGCCCATAGGTATGTTGTCTGAAGAAGCCATGGAATCCAGAAATAAGGACTTTCGGAACCACAGGGAACTGTACACCAGACAAATTAGTCGTGAGGAAACAATGAGGGATCTTTTTAATAGGTTGCTATTTTCTTCTGATCCAAAAATATCAAGTTTGTCTCGTAGTACATCTCCTAACCATCGATATAGTAAGCCACTATCTTAAGAAGTCCTTAAACTACTGGAGGATACAATGCTACCAACTAATTCAGATCAAAACTCGGATTCTGAATGTGATTAGTATTTAATAAGTAACGCCTAAATTTTGTAAAATATATATAGTTTAATGTTTTAGATATGTAATATTAATAATAAAGATATATATAATAACAATAGTGTTTGCCCTTAACCCACTTTTTACCATCCAAATGTTTCGGAATTTTTAAAAGAAGCTCCCATTTTAGGAGTACTATTAGTTATAACGAAAAATGTTGCTTATTATAAAATGTTTCAAATGCTTCAAAATAGTAATTTTCACCTAAAAATTTAAGTTTTTCAAAAAAAAAAAAAAAAAAAATCGGCGCTTAATGGGTTAATAAAAAAAATTGCCAAATTTTTTCATAAAATAATTAAAATTGTCCATCTAAATCTATTCTTATCCAAAATATCGATAAACATACAGTAAAACATCTACTTTGATTTTCTGCGCGCTAGATCTGCATTTTTTCCCACTGTGATACGCTCCCTGGTCTGTATGTACGTATGTGTTTTCCAATTTCATTTATAGTTTTAGATTAACTTTTATAGTTACACATGCATGTTCTTTCGGACCCACGGGGGCCATAAAGAATAGTTGCTGGTATTGCAATACTGATTGGAAATGTGCGATGCACTTTTTTTCGAATTACAAAAAACAAGAAATGTTAGTTTTTTGTTACAGGTAAGAGGTTAATTGGAAAGACATCAATTATATATTAAAAAATATTCTTTTAAA